TTTCCATGTTTTTCGTTAGTTTTTCGTGACTTTCACTTCTGCCTGGTTGCTTGGGAAATACTCGTATAAATATTTGGTCAGCGTTTGAGTAGTGGCCACTGTCAAATGAACAAACCAATTTGCCGTCAGCCTCAAGTCGAAATCTTTAATCGAAACTTTAAGGCGGCCCCATTCTGGAGCTGTGCCTGTGACTATGGCACGGGCACGGGGCACGCGGCACGCGGCATGGGAGGAGGTTCAACCCCTGCCCAAACAACAACTAACAGCACAAACATCAATCAAGCCTCGAGTTTGGTTTGGTTTTCTTTTTGGGTGCTTGTATTTTTGTCAACTTCTTGCAAGAAGTGTGTGGGACATCGTCTTGAGCACTCGCATTTCTTTGGAATCCCTCCCACTCCCCCCTCCACAGCCCACATCCCACAGCCCACATCCGAAGTCCTCAGCTCCATGAAATTTCCACATTCTCCCTGCTCCCTCCCTTGCTCCCACAGTTGCCTCACGGCTCCCACATGATTTACTACAACATTTCCTGTGGCCGCCTCTCGTCGGCCCCCCACCATCTCCGCATCTCTGGCTCGGTTCCTGCCATGTTTGACTTGATTTCGTCTAAATTGAGTTCAGTATCAACAGAAAATACTTCCGTTTCCTTTCCATCCTCCGCCTGTGCTCCTCCTGTGCACCCCTGTCTCTTCGGTTCTGTTCTGTTCGGTTCGGTTCTCTTCTCTTCTATTATATTCTGCTCTGTCCTGTTCTGTTGTGTGTACCTTTGCTTTGCTTGATTTTTCAGAGGAAAAAAAGAACTCCCAACTAGTAAAGGAACTCTCTCTCTCTCTTAGTTTTCGGTGACGGTGACGGTGTCGCTGTTCCTGGCTCTGGCTCTGGCTCTGGTACTGTGTGTGTTTACTTTGGCAGCAGCTCGTCTTCGTCTGGGTCCTCGTTCACGGCCTGGCTTCTGCCTGCTGGCTGCTGGCTCCTGGCTCCTGGCACCTTGCCTGCTCCTGTGCGTCATCGTCGAGGTGTTTGCTTTATTTTGAATGCTTTTTATGTTCAATTTGTTTCAATTTAATGTTGTTTTTGCTTGCCAGCTTGCCAGAGATCAGACCCGTCCGACCCGACCCCATGCCAGAGCCCCTGCCAGTGCCAGCGCCAGTGCCAGGATGCGTTGTATTTTACATGAATTTCAAATGTGTGCACCTTGTATGATAAATGGCATTAAAGGATTTGCGTGAATAACTCAGTTGGGACTTACGCTTTTCTATCTGCCAGATATGCACCAGCGACTGCTATCCACACAAATGTGCAATCGAACACGCCCTCTGGGAAGATGTTTCCATGCTGGATAGTGGAATGGCTAATACATATCCCGAAATAGAACAATAAACAGAATCAGCCGATGCAAAAGGGTAGAACAAAGAGACTGAATGGCTGACAGGATAATTCAAGATTATTACTTTTAGCTGCATAGCTGCATAAAATAACCGGATTTATGGATTGTTTATATTTCAAGGAATTCGCACTTATCGCACGGGTAACAATACGCAGCTCCTGTCGCCTTTCAATGATCTGTTTTGAAACTCTAAAGTTCCTCCTTCTGAATAATGGGGAAAGCTTATACAAATTTCACCTTCCTGCGATATCCCCCAGCCCCCTTCTTGGGCCAGGTGCCGGTGCCTTGCCATTAAAACCAATTCAAAAAATGTTTCTCGTTTCTCTTGTATGTTTTTCCCCATTTCTGTGGAATTGCGGCGCCAATGGACTAAATGGGCCAACTCTTTTACTCATAACAGCAATTTCACTTGTTAGCCATCGAACGAGAAAAATATACCTACATAGACTCGTATTGGAAACTCTCTCAATGAGGTTTTTCTCCAGCCGCGGCAGCCCCCCGTCAGGGTGCGATACTCGTTTTTTCTCTGACCAAAAGCAAAATTTATGCGTCTATTTCAAATGAAACATTAAAATTCCATTAGCGGAAGCGATGCACATAAATTGGTACCCCCATCCCCCTCCACCAGACACCACTGCTGGCAGGGGGATCGAATCTGCCCATATAATGCCTATATAATATATATAGCTGAGAAGTTGGGGAGTTGAGGAGGGGGCTTATCGACAAATGACCAGAACTTTGAATTTTGTTTAGCTTTAATTGCAGTGCAGTGTAGTATTTATTTAGTTCTCGGGAAGCGGATGGGGGAGCGATAATCGAAAATAATTTATAGAAAATAAATATTTCCACACAATGGCCCGCCCTAGTCGATGGGAAACTTGAACTTCTTTCTCCGTTCGCTTGGTTTTTTCTTGGGACTTTTCCTCCCTGCAGTTTCCCTTGCATGGCATGGCATGGCATGGCGTGGCGTGGCACGGCGTGGCGCGGTAGTTGTTTATTTAAGTTGTCATTAGAATGGAGAAAAGCAACAGCAACAACAGCAGCCCTGCCAGCTCTGGCAATCCGTGGCAGTTTGGCTATATAAACTTTTTAAATTATCACCGAAGCGCTGTCGGTGGTGGGACTGGAGCTGTAGCTGGAGCTGGAGCTGGAGCTGGGTGCGGCTGCCACTTGAGGCAGTTGATGTCGTTGTGTCGATGTACATGGAAATCGCATGGCCATGTGAAATTGAAATGGAAATGGTGGCAGCCTCCCCCCACCCCTTCCAACAAGTAGCCCCTTTACCGATTCCCTGGAAATGTTCGAAAAGTACATCCCACTGGTGCACTGACGAGGTGCAGGAGGAGGGCAGCGCCAACTCTGTGAATGATTTCGTTGTTGTTCTCCTCCGACGATGGCGCCCGATCCGAAGCCGGAAATGCAAGACAGTATTTTACTTATCCATTGGAAGCTTGTTTACATCGTGCTAGAGAGGGGTCGAGGAGGATTGGGAGGATTCCATCTGCAATGGGAGGAAATGTAAAATGTGCAGGGACAATATTCGGATGCGATCATGGGAGTACATATGGGATGTATTCCCCCATCTATGAGTTGAGATAATTGGCACATTAAAAATTATTCATTTATTTCCATGTACATATGTACATATATACTCATGAGCGGTAACAAAATATAAGAGTTTGGTCATTATAGAAGTACGGAGTTCAACAGAGAATATTGATCTGAAATAATAGATAAATCTGCTCAAAATCATATACCAAATCAAGATTCGAAGATGGAAACACGAATCGAATCATTCCATCAACCGTTTCATTAGAACTTCATAAAATTAAAGAGTTTTTGGCATAAAAGTATGTTTAAAAAGTATGCTAAAATATACTAGACACAGAACTCTCTAAGACTGTGTTAATATACGGACAGGCGGATCCATTTGGTTGTTGATTCTTAGTAAAAACATCGTCTGTGATTAGCTTCAATCTGCGAGCTTTTTGAAGCAATTGCATTGTCATATACCCGGACATGACTAAAACAATCTCATCTGGGCTTAGCGCGGAAGAACTGCATCATTCTGGGACCATCCTGTTTTCGCTAATCCAAACAGATTTATAATATAATTCAGTGTGTACGGATAGGCTGCGGGGTGTTCGCTACCTGTTCAATAATCTGTACTTTTTAATGGGAGTTTACTTGCATTCATCGAATAATGAGTAGCCTAATCCCTGTACGCATTTCCCGATCGTTGAAGCCTTGAACAGCAATGAGAGGCATCCCACAGAAAAGGGGAAACTGTCTGCAGCTGTCAGATATCACGGCCAGCGACAGGACAGTCAATCTGCACATCTTACACTCGTAGTGTACGAGCAGTGACACTTGCCACATGCCACACATTATCCACTAATAACTATAAACAAACTATGAGCTTAAGCAAACTGTTTTCTCTTTGGGGGTGCCTAATGTCCTGTCGTTGTATGCGGGGAATGGAATACACGCACATACTCCTGCTCGTATCATATCGCTCTTTCAAAACAAGTCACACAACAGCAGCAGAAGGCAGCAGGCATCAGGCAACAGGCAACACGAACGTAACTTTAAAGCCGCTTAAGGCTATAACCAGAAATGCCATGGCAAACGAAGCAGGTCAAGTCACACAAACACAGGGATTACCACTGCAAGGCTGTTCACTGTTCCCTGTTCCCCGTTGTTGTTGTTGCTGTTGTTGGTGGTGTTGCTGCTCTGCTGTGTTCTGTGTACACTTTCGGGCAGCAGGTGCCTCACTCCATGGATAAGACGTATAGAAGCTGGCAATACAATGGCCGAAACGCCAAGCCAAAAGCAACAGCAACAGCAACCGTAAGAGCAAAAGGCGATTCTGTCAAAATATTTACGATATGTCGTCGTCTCTGGCCTCTGGCCTTGCCTGCCTGCCTGCCTGGCTGCTAAAGTGTAAGGACCACCCACCCGCACGACACACACAATAGCTGATCCAACAGCCAACATTCAGGGCGGGCAAGGACGCAGGACGCAGGACATGTGTAGCACATGCTATTTGCGGGATACACTTTTCCCAGGATCCGCAACAATATATTCGACCTCATCCTTGGCCATTACTTAGCCAAGGACGAAACACGAAGAGGAAAATTGATTCATCTTACTGCCTCCTCGCAGGGGTAGGCGTAGGCGCTTCTGTCCTTCGGGTTTCCTTTCCCGCCTTGCGTCCTTGCGTCCTAGCCTCCTCCCACCCGTCATTGCGATGGCAAAACATTGTCATGTAAAATTAAAATTTATGGCTAATTTGTGTGCGTGAACGTGAATTCGTTGGCTGTCCTTTCCTGTCCCTTCGTTTCCCTTACTCTTTTTTTACAAGTAGGGACGTGCCAGCGTTTCATTTGTCTTTTGTCTCATTTCCATTTCCCAGTTACGCTGCGGGCAGCAGAGTCGTAAATTTCCTTCATTTGCTTGGGCAATTTTCACTGGAAAAGTCGAAAGAATTGTGTGAGAAAAACTAAGCCTCAGGCTCAAGGGCGACGGCGACCGTGAGGGCGTGACCTGTAAACTTTAACGATGAAACTATGGATAATAAAATCGAATAAAATACTCATTTGTGGGTTTCTTTTGGCTCAGTGGTGTATATATTTGTGTATATCATGTTTTAATCTCTCATATAAACGGTAAATGTACCAAAATTCAGATCATACAATACATAGAATATGATCTATATCCATGTGCACTTTTAAGATAAATACGTGTTCCATTCCATTCTATTCCTCTACTCGTACTCGTAGTCGAACTCGTACTCGTACTCGTACTCGTAAATGCTATTGATAAATATCACTATATGTATTTGATTTTCGGTTCTTTAGGTTGTTTGGCTAGTGGATTGATGGATGTCGTTCATATGTAAATAAGTATCTGAAACTGTGTGTTCTACGATTATATGTATGTATTCTATGTTCTATGTTCTATATTCTATGTTCTATGTTCTATGTGTGATAAAAGTTGAGTCTTTCCTCCGATGATCTTAGAGTAGGGCTATCCATAATCTACATATGTGTATATATACAGGCGAACATTCGATTTGGCAATATATCATTACAAAACTAACTTAACTAAGCTGCAGGACTTCGACTAACTAACAATAGATAGGCAGGGGGAGAGATGGAGAGGTTCGGGCCTTGGGCACACCCCCCAGAGGATAAAATCCCTCTCGGATGATGATCGCTCGATGACGTCCTAGACATAGCGCGTGATCTGTGAGTAGAATTCGGAGAGGCACGACTGCAGCTGGGCAAAGGTGGGACGCTCTCCGGGCAGAAGGGCCCAGCAGTAGGCCATGATGGTGAACCTGTTGGAGGAGAAGGAAGTCAAGAACAATTCTCTCTCTCTCTCTCTCTGTCTCTCTCGGTCGCTCTGATTTAGATACTTACAGCTCGTCGGGACAGTTGAAGGGCTGGGCCAGGCGATAGCCATCCTTCAGATAGTGCTCCATCTCGAAGGGATCTACCTCGGCGTAGGGCTGCTTGGCCGAGGTGCACAGCTCCCACATGAGCACTCCGAAAGCCCACGAGTCGCTTGCTTCCGAGAACTGCTTGTGCTGCAGGGCCTCGAGAGACATCCACTTGACGGGCCTGTTCTCGCTGTCCCCCAGGCAGTTATAGTCCGATGGGAAGAGGTCGCGCGAGAGCGAGCTGTCCGACAGCTTGACACGCAGCTGATCGTCGATCCTGAAAAGATATTCCAAATTCCATAAGCATCGGTGGAAGCCCAACGGAAGACTCCCACTACAAAATCGTGGTCCCAAAGTCGATTTTTTTGGCATAGACTCGAAAAATGTGTGAAAAGGTTTGGTTTTTGATTGATAACGAAATATTCGGAAAGATAATATCGCTGATATTAAAAAACTTATTCTTATTCCAATCCTTGCATTATTACTATTCCGAAACGGAGCCGTGGAAAATATATGTTTAAAATGGATAATAAAGGTTAAAGTATGTAGAATCTATATTGGAAAGAGTTAGTGTCTTCTCTTTGTGCATGCATTTGCCCTCTAGCGTTGCGCATATGTCTATTTAGCTGAAAAATCTAAAAAATTTAGCTGTGTAGCAGTATAGAGTAGACCTTTCGTGAAGTGCGAGCACGGAACGAGATAACAACGTTAAGTTATTCACTGAAGTATGCAGATTTAAAATTAATATGTCTCCCTTGCTCGTTTTTGCAGATTTGCAGAAAATTGATTTTCAGTTTCATATGAGTTTCGTCGTGGAAGCCCTGCAATAACGATAGCAGCGCCGATGAAGTAATTGATTTTATGTCTGGAAAAATGAGCTACAGATTTTATAAGTCATGAAAAGAAGAAATTTCAGCAATGCAATCCTGACCTTTACTTAACAAAATTGAAACTGATTACTTTCAACATGAAATTAAATTGAATAGATACTTTCCACATAGAGTTCTAGTTGAGTTGTCGATGAGAAGTTTTGAATTTTGAAAACCGAAAACCTTTGTTTGAAACTCCGCCTCAAAAAATCTCTACCACAAAGTTGATAATTCCATTATCGTCCGGAAATGTTTGTATTTAATATTAATCCTAATATAGCCAAATGTGCAAATTCTGGATCTACATTTTTGACTTTATGCGAAAAAATCGACTTTGGGACCATTTATTTGGGATTTATTGGATCGTTCCGTTCTGTACTTACACACAGTTCCTGGTGGCAATGTCCTTGTGGACCACCCCGTGGCTGTGGAGATGGTCGAGTGCCATCGAGAGCTGGGATGCCATCATTACGATCTGGATGGTGGTGATGGTGCGGGCGCAGGCCGGGTCCAGCAGGAAGAGCTTCAGATTGCGCGTGTTGTTCAGGGCGGGATAGAGGACGAACGGAGTGGTGTGGTCCTCGATGGAGACGCCCAGGACCGAGAGTATTCCCGGATGGGAGGCACCGTAGAGCAGCATGCCCTCCTGGAGGAGCAGCAGCACCTGCATCTGGCTGGCGTGCTGGGCCACGGTCTTGACCAGGACGTCCTGGTTGTCGTTGTAGGTGCCGCGGTAGACGCGCCCGAAGGTGCCCTCCTGCAGCAGGCTGGACAGGCGCACGCGGCACCGCTCCACCGTCAGCTCGGAGATGCGACGATGCAGCTCCTCCGGGTGCTGCTGCTGCTCCACGGAAGTCGCCATTTTGCGCGGCAGCGATGCCCCGTGCACGGGTGCAATCATCGAGGGCGTCATGTAGGCGGCAGAGCCGGAGCCCCCTCCCAGCGAAGCCTGGCAAGGATGGAGCGAGGGATGGGTGTTCAGGCGCTGGAAGCTCGAGGTCCGCATGGGCTGGCCCCCGTGCTGGTGCTGCTGCCGCTTGTTGGCCGCTCCCCGCACGCAATAGGCAATCATCAGGAGGAGGCAGACGGAGCCCATGGCCACTGAGACGCCCACCACGAGAGTGATGAGGCCCGTCGGCGGCGACAGCACAGTCTCCAGCATCAGCGGATCGTCCACGTCCTCCCCAGCCCCAGCCCCGCTCTGCTGCTGGTCCTCATCGCCACCCTCGCCGTCATTGAGCAGGCAGATCTTCTTCCGCCGGAACACCAGATGGGTCACGTTGTTCAGCGATCGATTGAGCACCACCTCCAGGCTGACGGTCACGTCCACCTCCGCCGCCCGCGCTCCGCTGCACCGCAGCTCGATGGCCCATGTCTGGATGTAGGTGGGGATCTCCCCGCTGTGCGACACGTTCAGCGACGGTCGCGGCAGCACCTCCGGGTCGGAGCTGACCACATTGATGCTGTACGGCAGCCCCCGCCCAGCCAGCGACTGCCACGTGAAGCTGATGTCCCGCACATTCGCGGGCACTGGCACAATGAAGTTCAGGGCGTAATTGTTGATCAATCCCTCGCGCACATAGTACACCTCAGCGGAGACACCTGAAAGGGGGGGAAAGAGAGCGGAATCGATTAGGAACCTATATCTAAACGTGTTATATCGGATAAGCAGCTTTGACTTGGAGATAATTGTGGATTCCCAGACTACTGCCTGTGAGCTGTTCCCCGCCATTAATCCCAGTCTCGTCCCGTTTGCCTGTACATAAATCTATCTTGTAGATGCACTCCCAGCAATGAGATACCATCCCGAAGATACTGTGCATGTACTTGTTTTGTTTCGTTGATTTTCTGGGGCTCTGTTTGCTCAACCCGATCCGGCAGACGGTCGCTGGCAACATTTTATATAAATAAATAAACATGGGAGAGGAGAGTAGAAGAGAACGAGCTCTCGATTTTAGGGAATTCCTTGGAAACTATTTTCGGGCTTATCCGTATCTGTATCTGTATCTGCAGCTGAACATTTATGTAGAACGACACAGGCAGAGGCAGAGGCACAGGCACAGGCACAGCAGGTTTCAGGAGAATCAAAACGAGACAAGGGCCAGAACAAACAAACTGAGATTTCTCTCCTCTCTGTATCTGTATTTGTATCTTTGGATTGTCTGTCTCTGGTTTATTAAAATATTGTTCTTTGCGGTTTGACCCGGTTCCAGTCTCGAGTCTCGCGTCTCGAGTTAATGAGGCATCTTCGGCAGGGTTTTTTCAGCCTCAGCGCCTCAGCTTCAGCTTGGCTATGTCTGCCACCGATTGCCAACTCATTTGGCTTGTTATGATATCTTATGCTAATGATAATGATGCAGTGGCTGTGGCTGTGGCAGTGGCAGGGGCAGCAGGTAGATCTTCCTTCGAAGACCACACACAGACGCCCAAGAGAATCGAAGCCGAGATTGATTGACTCACGTTGCCCAATTCCGCATCTTTCTCGCCTGCCAGTGCATTCACCTCTCTGGTAGGCTTGCGGCCAACTGTGGCACAGGAAATAATTTACGAAAATTGCAGCAGCAGAAGGCACAAGCACACTTCCTTCTTCCCTCTTCCTTTCTCCTTTGACAACTGGCAATAACAATAAAAATCAGCGCCCAGACATAGACCAGAACGGGGACGTAGATGTAGCTGTAGCTGTAGTTGTGGCTGTGGAGGTTGCCCCTAGGCAAATGACTCCACTGGGTGGCATATAAATTGTGTCAGGCGGCACTGCTACATATAGACGCGCGGTGGCTGGCTGTGGCTGCCTAGCGAATGTGCAACATGTTGCACGTTGTCGTCTGTCGGGTCTGTTCGCTGGAGCCTCGACACATTCCTCGCAAGCATTTTAAAAATAGCGCCCATGACTTAATCAAATGCAACGCGTCCTGTCTCCAGGCCCAGGCCTCGTGGGGGCACACTCCCATTGACCTCCTCCCTCCTCGAGAGGTACATGAGGACATGCAGCTAGGAGCTAGGAGCTGAGGCAGAGGCAGAGGCTGAGGGTTCACAGGTTCATGTGAAAGTTTCGCTTTATTGCCTTTGTACGAGTATAAGGTGAATGGGGAGCTTAGGGGAGCCTCCAAGGGTTTGCCTCTCGCGCGGAGAGAAGGCGTCTTCGAGTGGCATCGTCGGCGCTGGCTTCGTCTGCCCCATGTCACGAGCAAATGTCACTTGCATGTGCCCGGCGCATGTGTCGGCTCTTGAACTTCTTTAACCTTTTGTATGTGGCATTATCCGGCATGTTCATAACTGGCTCTGACTCTGGCTCTGACTCTGTTGTATTTCTGCCTCTTTGCTGGGCGTGCCGTGTTGTCCGTGTTTGGTGGAGCAATGGGGGCAGGAGGCGACCAAGAGTCGAGTCTATCCTCGAGTCTGGCTTGGATCTCTCTCAGTATATCGTATGTCGAATTTTCGGAGCGTGCAGTCATGACGCTGTCGCTGTCGCTGCGGCTGCTAGTACTTTTTTGCAACCTTTTTTTAATAGCTCGCTGGCTACTGCTCTTGCCACAGTACGAGTGTATCTGCACAGCGTGGAGTCGTGACCATTGTTGCACCGTGCCCCACTGGTACGGGAGTGCGGGGGGAGACAAGGGTTCGGATAGAAGGAGCTGCAACTGGAGCTCTGGAGACACTCAAAAAATGTTAAAATGTTTGCGGTTTAGTTTCCATTTTCATGTAATTAGCGTTGCAATTCGTGAAGTGCTTTCCGCAGCGCCGATTTCCTATGCTGATTTTTCCCAGTCCTAGTCCCAGCCCCAGACTCAGACCCAGACCCCTTCTGTGGGGTCATCCAGGGGTCAGCGTCAGAGCATTCTCATAACTCTGGAGCATTTGTGGTGCAGGGAATGGGGCGATGGGAAACATGTGGCGGAAACACGTGTGTTTGTATGTGTGTGGGGGGATTGGAGGCGGAAGACTGCGAGTGGATGCAACCTCCACTTCTGGCGCACCACAAGATACAAAATATTCCAAAAGATACAACACATCTCTGGGAGGAGTAAAAAAGATTTATAAAATGCGCAAAAGATACTGAAAGAGAACCATAAAGATACATAGGAAACCAATCGGAACTTTTTTGTCGAGGCACACGATCACACATGTCTCACTGGTCGAGAGCGAGAGAGAGAGAAAGAGAGAACCCACTCTTAAATGCTAAGCCCCACTGTGAGAGAGGCTGGGAACTTTTTTTAATCATTCTGTCTGTATTAAAGATCCGATTGTTTCGATTTTTGAAACATATAGAGATTATTACGAGTATCATCTGGAGGAATATCCTGGGACAGATGCCAGGAAAGATGCATTAAATGTGCCCCCATGTGGGCTTAATGATTTTTTCGATTACCTAGAAGTATCTTTCCGTTTGTATCTGCTATCTGCTGTCATCAGCTTCCCGATTTGACAAATATCCCAGGCTCATCCGGGGACTACATTCAAACGATGGCCTAAGCAAACGACGAGCCCGTGCGTGGCGGCAGGCGAAGAACCCTCAGCCACTGCCACTGCCACTGCGTCTGCCTCTTTTATCTTTTATCCAATCCCCAAGACCAAATTGCAATAGATGATAAATGATGTACAGGGACTCCATCTGCACCATGAACCGCATTGAACCCAGTCTCAGTCTCAGCTACAGCTCCAGCTCCATCTCTAACCCCCATCTAATGGCTAATATGTCACTTTGGCTGCTGCATTGGCTCTAACTCAAGCTCCAACTCCACTTCGGGTCTTTTGTGCAGTTTGTGCCCAAATCGAAAAATAAATAAAACAAATGATCGGCGCCCGCCAGGACCCGCCCACCTCCAGCAGCCAGGCAGCCAGGCCTCCATCCTTATCCACGCACAATCCACAACAATCTCGCTTACAGGCCTTGCAACGCCACCCCCCAGAGACGCCCACCACATGTCAACATTTAACATGTTTTCGAGCCACATCATCTCCTGCCCAACATCCGTATCTATCTGTGAATCGTTGCTCAGTTGCCTCACGTCGTCGTTATGATAAATGATGCCCCTGATTCGCTTTCCTTTGTCTGCCCAGATATTATTTTGCGCTCACTGTGGCTCCGTGTGCCGTTCGTTCCCTGCCTAGCAGCGGCAGCGGCCGCGGGCTTCGGGTTTTGGGTTTCGGCTTTTGATTGTAACAAATTTGTTGGCAACAGAATTAGCCATCTTTTAGCCGTTGCTCCATCTCCATAGCCAGCTCCAGCTCCGGCGATTTGGCACAGTTAACGCCGCGCAGATTTCGTTCTCCCTTCCGGCGTTGGCAATGTCTATGGCTCTGGCTCTGGCTCTTGCTCTTGCTCTTGCTCTGCCTTTAGCTCTGGCTCTCAAAATTAGCTCAAATTAATCATTCAAATTTTCGAGTTGACGTTTTCTCGCCGCTCTGGCTGACAAAAACGTTATGGCCGAGCGCAGCGGCGCGGCTTATTGTAATGGCCAAAATCAATAGTAATTAACCTTAATCGTTAGTCAATTTTCGGTTGCTTTTTTGTCTCTGTATGTGTATCTGAGGGGTTGTCGCTTGGTGTTGAGTGGCCGCCAGAAAGATGAAGATGAAGATGATGCGGGTCAAGAGCGAAGAATGAAGTTGTGTGAAGATATAATTGGACCTGGACTGGGACATCCACTTCACTGCCATGGAACCTATTATTAGATACAAGTTAACGGTTTCTGGCTGTATCTCAGAGTGGCAGAGTATCTGTGGGAATAGGGGTATAGCTGCAGCAGTCTTTTCCGACACCAAATCAAAAGATAAAAATCTACTTATATGTGTATGATCCATTGGCGATTGTATCTACAAAATACATACACGAGTCCCACCATCAATGCGGCCCAGCATCATGCACACGCAATGAATGTGGTTTCTGCCATTTTCGGGCATTCGAAATTAAAGGAAATCGTTTATATTGAGATGGAAATGCATCCCTTGAATGGAAGTGCATCCCGCAGGCAATAGAGAACCGAAGATGTATCTGCATCCATAAAATGGGGTCCCTGGGACACAGATTCGTATCTCTGGAGATCCGTATCTAGTATTTCAAGTGCAATCTATTCCATTACTTCAAACGTTGATCACGAATTTCGCATCGATTGTGGGAACTGCGGGAACTGTCAAGCGAATCGTGTTGGCAGCCTCACATGCATCCCACAGATACCCCCACTGATACTGTGCCGCGTGGCTAACGAAGCATGTGGCAGAGATACAGGCCCCATGCATGTAGTTTCTGTGCACATTCCATTGCCATTGTGCCACTCCCCTTCCCCATGCTCCATGCACCATGCACCATGCACCGTGCACCGTTCAAGCGGCGCTTTCTGCAGCGGAAAACTCCCACAGCGACACAGCGACTCGCGTAACCCAAATAAACAGCATACCCGTACAACTCAATAAACAGATACACACACACACACTCACACACACATAAATACATTCATACGTGCATCTGCATCTTTACTGTTGCACAAAGTTTCATGGAGCACCACGCCCCCATCATGGCACCCATGTCATTCATGTGACATGGAAATAAACTCTGTGCTCAGTCCCCAATCTCCAGCCTCAACCCATCATCCCAGAGAGAACTCTCTCCCGCTCTCCCGCCTCTCTCTCTCTCTGTTGTTGTTTAATGTAAATATGATTATTCCTTTTTGCCATACTATATGCATATGTACACATACATACATATGTACGTATGCTCGTGCTCGTATTCTGTGGATCGATGCGTGTACACTGTACAGTGTACAGATTGTACAAATACGCAGCATATAGGGCACAGGGAAGCGAAGGGGAAGGGGATGCAAACAATGGATGATATTTATTATTGACATGCTCCCTGTTGCTGCCACTGCTGCATGCCCCGCGGCGGGGTTATCGGAGTTACTGTCAGTGCTCCTCAGTGATAACCGCAGCCCCCAGAATCCAGAGCCCAGAACCGAACCGCCTCTCAATATAAGCCTTTGACGAGCTGAGTTCCACTTTGGAGCCCCACTCCCACTCCCACCGCCACTGCCACTCCCACTTCCATTCCCCCCACCAAACGATGTGCGTCGGAAAACCCTTTTGTTTATTTGTGACGGCAGTGTGGCAGTTGCTTTTATTGCTGCACAATCGGTTTATGCGATTTTCATTTATTTAAATGCCGCTCTTTTGCCATTAATAGTTCTGAATGCAAATCCATATAGAAATGGAAATGGAAAAACCCATTCGCTTTAAGCGCTGGCTTAGCCAAGTTTATGACGGCCTACGGTCTTTCTCCCTCTGCTCATCCTCTAATCACATAGCAACAGTGTCGAATGTGTCTGTAATGCGACACCCCACGGCCGAAAAATACCAGCGAGGGAGAGAGAGAGACCAGAGATCTCCAGAGATCTGTGATGTGGTTTGAGCGACTTTACGACCTGCCAAGTGACCATCAAATCTATTTGAATCCGATACCCCATGATCTCTGGTCCATGATCCGTTTTCAACGATTAAAAATAGATTGAAAATCAAATGTATTGGGAAATGAGCTTTTGGAGAGCCGTCGCATAAGTCACGTAAGAAAAATCGCTAAAGATTGGGCTGAGGAAGTGAGCAGAGATCGATGATAGATGATCTGTAGGCCGGTCGAGAGACAGAGATTAAGGATCGTTAGGCAACATTATCTAGGAGTATTCACAATTGTCTAATACTATTCCACGAACTACGTAGTCGGCTGCACAAAAGTTCCAATGAAGGAACGGAGTCACGAAGGGGGAGCAGGCCACTAGATCAGAAATACCATCAGATCAGCAACACCTTTCCAGGGAAAAGATGGCTTTAAAGCGATAGCCGATCTGGGGAGTAGCGACAGCTGTTTACAGCACTCTTTACGATCTGTCGGGTGTCTGGAGAGCTGTTAACTCTTGCACATCGTATGGCAAAAGGTGACACGATGTTCATAAACTTTTCCTTCATCCAGCATCAGCTTTCGGGGTGGGACAGGGCGACAGCTTCATTAGCTAATGGCCACTTCATTATGTGGAGGAGCCACTAGAAGCCGCAGAGACTGCAGCAGGCTCCAATTAAAATATAGATCATGCCTCCCGATCATATCAGAGAGAGCAGCCTCGCGGGGGATCGGAGGCAGTTCGTGGAAGGCTTTTAGCACGATAAAGTGGGGAATGTTGGGGCAGGCAGCCTCTCGTTCCTTCCCAATTATCGTCTGGGTCCGATCTTGGCCAAGAGAGGCTGCACGGAGGTGGGGAAGACAACATTCGACAAGAACACGACTCTCGCGACTCGAAAATAAGAAAATAAACGAGATACGCGTACAAGCGGGGCATGTGGCTTGTTATGGCCATCCGGCAGATACTCCGAGCAGCAGCAGCAGCAGCAGGTTAGGTGCTAAAAGTTGCCACAGTAGCGCCCGCTCGTTGTGTGTATCTTTCAGATACAGATACTTGCCAGCTTGTTTGCCGTGTAAGCCGCTTAGCCGCTTAGCCGCGGCTCACTTCAAATACAAAAGCCCATCAATACCTGGGGGAATGGGTGCTGGGGAATGGGGCATGGAGGGGGATGCCTATGCAAATATGAAAATATTTAAATTGGCCTAAACAAAAGCGACTCCAAGCGTCTCGAAGCTCTCAATTTATTTAACACAGTTGGTGGTAGATCTAACACTTCCCAGCATCCGAGTCTTTCCTCTGCCCCTGCCTCTTGTGCTACAAAATGTATCTTCGGTTTGTTCGGGGGCTAATTTATGGCTTGGAGCGAACGCCAATCGATCATGGCGTTTCTATTGGTGGGCGTGGCAGCGTTTGAGCACCGCAGCATTCCATTCCATTCCAGGCCAAGTGTGAAGAAACGTGCCAAGTATTTCACTTCTCCGGGATCATCCATTTTTCCCTTAATTTTAGTTTTAATTTCCATGGCTGCTTCGTTAGCATTGAGACCAGCAATCAAATTAAATCAAAGCACAATCAAAGCACCCAAAGAAAGCCAGGAAAATGCCGAAGCGTCAACAGAGGGCCATTAAAAGGCGAGGAAAACTCCGAGGAAATTGTTTCAATGACCCCAAAAGGCAGTAAAATTAAATTAAAGTTGAATTGAATGCATTTTTTGGGCATTTAAAATGTAGCGCGTGTCACAGCAGCAGCAATCCCGACCATTACGAGTATTTATTTGTGTTTATGATTTGAATCGAAATGGAATATACTGGACGTGGAGGGAGTCGATGATCTTTTGGATCGTGTGGATCGTGTACGGCCAACCCATCAGACGGCAGATCGTATTTCATATCGCGCTGCGCTGTCAGATGCCATGCCCCACGGATTTTATGACTCAAAGCTTTTACCATGGAACTTTTTGTGAGACACCCCCCGTGGGGACAGGCAAGGGGAAGGGGATCCTGGAGCTGGTTCTTCTGGGGTTAAAGGAATTCTCTCCTGTGTTCGTCTGCTGTGTGATCATCTGCGGGCTATAAATTAAATGCAAATGAAATATATTTAAGCCTTTTGCCTTTGGCAACTGCCGCAACAGCAACCCGTCTCTGCCACTGCCACTCCCACAGCCCTCGCTCCGCCGCTGCGCTGCACACAAATCAAATGCAAATTATGCAGCTTAATTGATTTATGGCAGTGCGCGGAGTGCGTTTGCATTTCTTTATTCTATAAACCGCACGCATTTCCCGGGCGGGCGGGTCTGCAAACTTTTCAACTCTGTCTTAATTACCCCTGTGGTCCCCAGTCCACAGTCATCCCTGCAGACGAAGTTTTCTCCCCGTCGCATCATTGCCCATGTCACGGCAGCAACATGTTGAGCGCTTTGAGCCCACGGTGCACGGCTGCCCCATCCCCCACTCAGCATACGAGTATTCTGCATATTTGATTTCACGCCCCCGAAATGAAATTCAAAATGCATACGCAAAATTATGCACATCGCCATCGTTATCGTTTGGGGCTCGGCGGAAGGAGCGAAAAAGTGCTCCCACACACATTTGGCTAGAAAAAGGCAACTTCATTCAACAAGCCAGCTGCGGGGCGGCAGCAAGTTGCATGCCAAAAGCTGCAACAACAACAGCGACAACTGAAACGACAATCACTGCAGGGGAAGTGGGAAGGCGGGTGAAGGACGGGGTAAGCGGGAGGCTTGTCATGTAAAAGGCGACGACGCGACTGCCAAAAATACTGTTTGAGACCCAACACAAGCACTGAGGCATGGCAAGCATACCCGACACACTGTACAGTACACAAAATGAGAGAGGATTGGAGTAAATCAATCTGTGACAAATGAAATTACAAATCGGCGTACAAAGCAGTGGAAAGCAAGAAGGAATTCGAAAAAAAGTGACTAGCTGTCCTCAACTGCCCTTAATTAAAATTGTTCGTTCTTTCGATTCGTCCCACTGTACCTGTGCACAGCTGAGGCTGCGTACCGTGCCCCCACAGCCACCCCTTGCATATTCCCCCCATCCTTATGCACAAAGTCACGTTTTGCCTTTGCGTTCCCTGCCTCTCGTTCTGCGCGCAGGCATGTTCGCTTGTTACTGAGTAGGGGGAGTGGAGGCTGGAGCCTCCAAGAGTCAAGGAATTTCAGTTCCAAGAAATATTCAAAAATACAACATTTAATGCTTATTTTTGCGTGTCTCTCTTTGCTTTTTCTTCCTGTTCTTGTTTCTCTTCATTTTCATTTTACGAAGCGGAAAATATCTTCTGCTTGGTTGTGTTTTTGTTTTTGTGTTTGTTGTTTGCGTTTGTTTATTTATTTTACTGTTTAACAACACCTGTAAGACAGACAGAGAGAGAGAGAGAGGGAGAGCGGGAGAGTCGGCATTCAAGGGACGCAAGACAGAGAAGGGGAATCTAAATTAAGCAAAAGCAAACAAATACACATAATTTTTCGGGAAAAGCAGCGCGCTTTTCCTCCGTTGAATGAAAACTTGTAACGTTTCCTCTTCGTTGACACAAATTGTTGCTGTTGCAACTGCAATGTACTCACCCAGCAGCCGCATCACCTCCTCGGGATTCAAGAAGACATTCAGATGACCAGACACTCCCCTGCCCGGGTGCAGGAGCAACGCAGTCAGCGCCAGCAGCGACAACGACAGCACCGTTTGCCGACATTTAACGATGGAATTCATGGGGAAATTCGTGATTTTACCGACACTTCTTTTGCACTTTTGCAACAACAATTTGTAAACAATTGAGTGCGATAGAGAGAGACGCACTCACACAGGCACGCGCACAAGAGTGACAGAGCGAGAGAGAGTGAGAGAGAGAGGTGCGCAAATGTTAGCAACGGAAGTGCAACGAAAACATTCTCTCACCGCTTTCACAAATCGTTTATTTTTATCACTTTTTTCACGCACTTGTATTTAGTTAGGTTAGTGTTCGAGTACAAGAGAATATAAATGAAAACATCCGAAATTTGGTGGTGGTCCGCGTTTAACGCATCGATCGGCAGTGTGACCGTGAATCTGTCGATCAAATATACCATCTGACCCTCATAAATATACCGAAATATACCTTGTCATTATCAAAATATACCGTAAATATACTGACGGAAACGACAAGAGCGTTGATATTCCTCGATTTTGATATTCGTTTTAATATTACTAGCCAGTAAGCCCCATCAGCCCTTAACAAATAATTTTATGCAATTCACCAAAAAAATTTGTACACGATTGGCTTGTTTTCAGAGCTCCGATTTGTATGATTGTTTACATAATAGGGTTCAAACAAAACCGACCAAAGCATAAAACGTAAATGTGGACTAAATGTGACTCAGTGTTGCTGGTCAACCAAGTTTCTTCTATGCGTATGTACTTTTCTATACCTTATTTCTTTTAATTGGTTTTAAATGTTTTGTTCCAAGCGCCATTGAAACATTATTTATGATTTTATCCTAGATTGACATGTTTTTTACCTATTAATGCACATGTTTGTGTTTTATATATACATATATCCCGGTTCTGATACCTATTATTGGAACCCGTGAGCTGAAAAATTTCGTTAATATCTTTAAAACAGAGACTGAGTAGTTTCTGCATTAATTGGAGCCTTAAATTACAAACAATATCTCAAGTCCATAATATCCATTTTTCCAAGGTATGCAGATTGTTGCTCATTCCGTGCCAAAGTTGCACAACAATGCTGCTACTTCATTTCCCCATGTTGCTGAAATTTTTCCCATACAAATCAAATGTATCTTACGGGAACGTAGATTCATTGTTGCGACGTTCCATACGGAGGGTCACACCACAAAAAAAAGCGAATCTCACCAAATTTTGAAAAACCACCACGAATTGAGAGCGAAAAATGTCAGTATTTTTTGTGCGCTAAATGGTTTGGCGGTCATTTTCAAAAGTATATTAATATATGGAAAAATAAACATTTCACTTGATTTGTTTTGTCGAGTGTGACTGGAACCTCAGAAACGTCATAATCAAAATATACCGTAAATATACTGACGGAAACGACAAGAGCGTTGATATTCCTCGATTTTGATATTCGGTTTAATATTACTGCCAGTAAGCCCCCTCAGCCCTTAACAAATAATTTTATGCAATTCATCAAAAAATGTTGTACACTATTGGCTTGTTTTCAGAGCTCCCATTTATTTGATTGTTTACATAATAAGGTTCAAACAAAAACGACCAAAGGTATAAAACGTAAGTGTGTACGGAATGTGAATTGTTGCTGGTCAACAAAGTTCCCGCTATGCGTATGCACATTTGTTTACCTTATTTCCTTTAATTAATATTAAATATGTTGTTCCAAACTGCTTTTGAAACACTAAATTGAATTTGTCTTAGATTGAAAGGTTTTTTACCTATTCATGCATATGTTTTGTGTTTTGTATATAAATTTATCCCGGTCTGCCTATTTTGGATTGAACAATTTCGTTAATATCTTTGAAACAGAGACTAATAGTTTCAGCATATCAATGCTCCAATCTTGGAGCCTGAGATTACAAACATTACCTCAATTCTATAATATCCATTTTCGGCTTGGTGTCGCTTGGGCCACTTGATGGTGCAGTCATTGCATATCAACGTCGAGATAAAAAATCAAATGTACCTAAAACTTTTTATAATTTTATAATTTTTATATTTCGACGATAATACCCACTGTATTGCAACTCCTCTTGAAAAACATAAGAGTTCTACCCTGTGGCCGAGCAACATAAATTTGGAACTTCCATTGCTCATATGTACATATGTTAATATACGGGAAATATTCCTCAATAAATTCATTCTGTCCGGTACTGAGTTTGACAAACCTAAGGGACTGATCCTGACTAGGATTAAAATATTAATTACTATCATACTATTCTACTATTTTACTGTAACTTTATTTTTACTATTATTTTAAGCTACTACTCTTAAGTTTTACATGTATTTGATATAAAATAATAAATATTTTCTTTTTGTACCCAAAATCAACATTTTTGATATAAAATCCGTTACAAGAGTAACGGTTTTCTTAACGCGTTTGCATCTCTCAACAAATAAAATCGTTGGAAATTTTCTGTTAGCATTTGGGGAGAGAGAGAGACAATTTCGTTATATTTTTGAGTTTGGCGGTCATTTTAAAAAGTACTGTCAAGCAACTGTTTCTTAGGGACCTTGCTCCTATTGCTCCTAACTGCACTTTTTGTGCTGTTGACTTTTAGATGTTAATTTTAATGTTAAGACCTCTACATTTTGTGCGCGCCACTATTTGAAAATCCCAAAACCAATGGCAATTGATTTCTCCCGGATAAATGGAACCAAAGGCTATACAATACAAATATGTTGTACGAGGAGCAACTGCTCGTTCAATTTTCGTTTTACGCTTCATGGTACGGGCGCACGGCGTATTTCTTCCATTCTCCTTAAGCAAAGGCCATACAATATAGTCTTTGATGAAACGCATTACTGCACCGTTCATCTGAGCGTGGCGGCGCTGAGAGTCCGGCAGATACGAAGCGTTGAGAACCGCCAAGTTAACAATAAAAACATCGCAGCAGCCGCGGAAAATTAATGATCAACTTTAATAAATATTCTTCTCAAACATGGTGGAAGAGATTTATTGTACCTTTATTTCGATGAGCTTCATATTGTCGTAGAATTTTCCCCCGCTCCGGTGGACGCTTGCCATCAAAATGACTCCTTCTTGACACCTACAGCCACCTACGACCAGCTCCACTTGGTAGCGGCAGCGGTGAGTGAACGAGGCTTGAAATGGCAGAAACTGCAAGCAAGCGCGGTACATACATACATATGTACATAAAACGTTTCAAGCGGTAAAATGTGATATTCGAAAGGTTGGTCAACCAATTTTAGATTCGCGGTCTCTCCATAGATTTGTATGAGCAATACCTTAAACTTTTCCTGAGTTTTTAAAGTCGAAATTTCGTAAACAATACCGCACAAGAATCATCATTTGTGCATTTGAAAGCTGAATATTTCCCAGACGGTTAGCTGAATCTAAAAAGTGTTCAGGTCTACTTTATATATGCATTTATTATCTTTTCAGAATGGCAAAGTTCATTACTACCAGATGTAAGATACTTAAGTTATAAAGCATAAAAAGAAAATACCACTTTTTAAAAATTAGTTAAACAAAGTTCTGCAATTGAAAAGAAATAATTTCACTAAGCATGTTTACAGCCCAAAATCTATAAAAAAAAAGTCGGTTTGGTTCGCAGCGGAAAAATGGTGTCGGTTGGTGCTTTAATTTAAAATAGTTAATATTTGTATTGTATTCAGCAGACTACAGACTACTACAAATCTGCATTATGAAAGAAATTCATAAAAACCAAATCAAATTACACATATATGTACATACGGGAAATCTTAAAACTTTGCAACTGTTATACCAGCACAAAATGTTTCTTCAACATCTTGTTTGGTTTTCGCAGCATGTTGATAAACATCAAATTGTGGCTGTTGCTTTTTTTTGCTTCAAGTGTTGCGGGTGGGTGTCTAGCAACAATGTCCATATTCCAGCAGCATGTTGCTGAACGAATATATTTCGAAGCCAATTAATAAACTACTTTTGAGTTTTATTGAATGCAATACGCCTTACTTTCATTATATTTTCTTCCGATATGATACTGTCCAGCTATTAGAAATTTCATGATAGTTGAAAAAACTAACCGAAGAAGAAAATACAAGAAAAGCAGCATAACATTTTAATTACTTTTCTGTGCTGGATCCCGTTACAAACATTTTGCAATCCCCAAAATATGGACCATTTTCAAAAAGTTGATCCGCATTTACTCGTATATGGGCATTTCTCTGAAGTTGAACAGAATAGTCGTAAGTCGTGGAAAAGTCAAAATATGACCGATTTTCCAAATTTGTTTACCATTATGACACACTTTTCGACAAGCCCTGCTAAGGTCGATTTTAGCAATTGTTTACTTTTAAGATTTTTTCAAAAGAAACAAGCCATTCGCACGGGACAAATATGGAAGTGGTTTTCGCGGCGATCAATTCAAACTCATATTTCAGCGAAAGTTTTTTAAAAGCACGGGAAAACAATGTCTAGGCTAATAACAGCTTAAAATATACAGGTAGCCGGTTACCTTGTGGGGGCCAGAAGGGGTTATGGAAATTTAACTTTTTTGGTGGACCTCGTCAGAGAAATGCTCATTTACAGATGATGTAGTGTTTATTGACATATTCATAGAGTCCATTTCGATAGCAAAAAAACGTTAAGATTTATATTGCTACGCCACGCAATCAAATAGATCAAATCCATCTTTTACAGAGTGCCAATGTATTAGCAGAGAGCAGTATGCTGACGTACATACTTATGTACATCGCTTGTTAAATTTAATTTTGATCGATGCTAAAGCTAAAACTTCTGCAGTCAGTGATTTCTACAAATCGCAGGGCATTGAACATGAGATAAATAAGTACAAACTCTGGCTGATCCATAAATCCTAAATACATATGTCCTACTTGGATTCGCCATAAGAAATCAGATTCTCCATAATTGAATTTGCTCACTTCCCGAAGACTAGCGAAATCAAAATAGAGCCATTAATGAGAAAAATCAGGTTCCAAATTAATATATTTTACCATTGAAATAGTCGAAAACTCCACGACAGTACCTTGGGAGCCTGTAAAGAGAATTTGTGAAAAAAGGATGCAGAAACGCACATCGGCAAAGAATCGTTGAAAATGGAAATAGGGCACCAAAACCTTATTAAAAAATATGCAAAGTATTGTTCAAATATTACTAGAAGATATAAAAATAAAAATGTTGGTCTTACTCTATATGCTCTAGTATTGTATTGAATTGTACTGTACCATATGGGCTAATCCGAAAATTTGTAAACCTAAGTCAAAATCCAATTATTTGCTATTGAATTAAGCAACTAGGGGCAAGCCCCCTGTGCACTCGCTTCGCTCGGTCACACAACCCTTCACGCACAGGGCCTTATTAACAGTTCCTAAAAATTCATTGATACTGATATGGATTATAAAATACGTATTTCGTTGTCCACAAACAAATTAATACCATTGATGCCATTGATAAGGGAGAGGTCCCGGTTGTGGATATAGTTTTCTTTTTGCCTCATAACTTTTGACCAACCTTATATTATATAAACATATGTGCACCATTTAAAGCTAGAGGTATTAGCTAACTATTAGTGAAGGAACTAAATTGATTCCTTTATTCAGAAAAATTTGATCAAGAAGTAACTTTTTTTTTAATATTTTAATTTTAATGTTGTGGAAACCCGTGAAAAATCGGCGTAAAATTACAAAAATATGAAAGTTTATTTATTTTAAGAGCCTACTGGCATAAAGAACAAAAAATATGACACGTTTCACCATTAATCATCGGATTTATAGTAACTGGCACGCACATTGGTGGTTTTTAAATGCAACGGACGACTGCATTTATTGCATTCGATGGAGTTTGGTGCAGACAGATGATACAAAAAACCTGATCATCGCCAGAAAGAGCCTTGGTTCGCTTAGCTGCTGGTTTGGGCCTAACAGACAATTTCTCCAAAACAGCACCCACCCCAAAGTAGGTATATGAATATGAATATGACTCCCAATACGCAGATCAGCAGCATTGGCTTGGTCACAACTGGGCCTCTGTCCACAACAGGGCCCTCTCCCCTACTGTCATCCGTATTATGTTATTCGAATAAGTTATCAGTACACCAGGCGACATTCCGCCCGATATTTTGTTTTCTGTTCCTCTTATTTGCCCCCTAACTCGCACATTTTGTTACTCTTCCTCTAACCCGCACTCCCCACCACCCACTCTTCTTCTTCTACCCCCTCTAACCCTGAAGAAGAAAATGCACAGAAAATAAAATAGCGGGCGGTGACTGAAAAAAAACTCGTATTATTTTATATAATAGAGAGATATGATTGTACGGTGGTTGGTTTGTTCTTGGCAATGGTTGACCTACACGTACCTCTTACTTCCATGGTCAAAAGCGTGGGCAAAACATTTAGTAGTTATCGCTTAGTAAAACTTAAAATTTGTTTCATTTTCTTTTATTTAAGATAAAAGTCATATTTGACTTCTAATATATCTAACATCTTATATATATACAAATTTTTAACTAATAATGGGCAAGCTGTTTGTAACGTCTGTAACGGAAAACAGGGTTTTTAATTTAGCAAAACGAATTATAATAATTTTGTTTTTCAACTAGCATTATAAACAGAGTTTTTTATGCGCTTTAATCTTTTTTGAAAAATACTAATGGCACAACATTCATTTTAATATTATGAGATGGAAGTAGTTGTTTATAATGGATTTTCACCTGTTGAATCTGAACGTTCTTTAGGTTGCCGAAAGTATGAAAAAATTCACCTGTGTTAAAATAACATGCAATCGATCCCCCAATCTGCAATGCTCGGTAATCCCATGCTTGCACATGTAATTTACCCTAAGAGGGGTCAAACGAGCACAACTTGAATTGAGATGAATCTAAAATTCTTCTCAAACCTAAAATAATTCCTGAAAATAAATAATAATTAATTAATTACCACGCTTACAACCACAAAACCCCTGCCCCTTAATATATTCGGTGGTACGCCCATGCATGCAATGTTCAAGTACAGCATTTTTAGCTATAAAGCTTTAAGAAAGTCATATATACATATGTTGGCTAAGATAAGAGTAATGAAATATTGTAAACATTTTTTGTAAGTAATAAATTAATATTTACTAGGCTAAAAAGTTTTTTAAATACATAAATATTTTTTTGTATTTACACAATTTGGATTGATGGAAAAAGTGTAATATTTCCGTAACGAAACGTACGTAACAGAAAAAAAGACTACCTATCCTTCCTTTTCCAGGCTGGATTGATATGGTTATATAATCCAATTAATTTTTGGAATATTGAATATTTATTTTGTTTATTCTGAAAAATTTGCTAAAAAATTTGCAAATGCACATAAGCCTCAAAGTCGACTTCCATTTTTTGTAACATTCGCAACGGAACTTTAGGCAAGCATAACTTTTTTCAAAAACAGTTAGAGTGTTATTTTAAAACAAGTTACAAAGTACTCCCAAAAAACTGCGCTTTGCAAACATTTCATGAAAATATACCAATGTGAACGCCAGCTGTGTTGCCCATATGTATTGTTTTCGAATTGGTGGCAGAGCAGCAGCAGAGAAATCAAGAAATCCTGGATAAGCACTTGTTCTTATTCATTCACATGTTTGCAAATAAATTGAAATAATTATTTGTATGAAAATGTATACATGTATCCTTTGAATGAAAAATGTAAAAGCATTAAGCAACAACATACGAAAATTCCAATCAGTGCTTGTTTAGAGAATGGCAATCCAAGGAAACTTTGGTAACGATATGTAATAAATAATATGTTATTCGAAGATTTAAGTAAAGTTTCATTGCCTGCTCCAACCACATGACATACCACAGCTCAATTAGCAAATTTTCCATAAGAGAACGGACATATTCACTTCTAATCACACGAACCGAACAATGGCAAATAATATTATAGAATATTATAGATAGAATATGAATAATATTGTGAACTGAGAACGTTGTGTGTACAATCCCAATGGAAGCACTATCATTCGCGAATGTGAATCTGCTTCTAATATAATATAATATAATATAATATAATATAATATAATATAATATACATACATACATATATAATTATGTATAAGCGAAAACAAACAACAATACTGTGGAAGCAATCAATTCCCCGGGAGAGAGAACCTAGCGGAAACGATCTCGGTCTGAAATGTTTAGTCTGTTTGTCTGAATCGGCATTGTTAGTATTTATGATCCAGTCATGTTGGCAATCGAATGCTCTATATCTTTTATGTACCAGTTGCTGAGAACCAAAGGCATTTATGGACAGACTGACAGTCACCTGTGCTGAGCGAGAGTTTCGCGTATAACTCAGTGAAACGCCATTTAGTTCTGATATCATTCGTTGATTCGATTACTGGGTCTCTGACCTTGAACTAAATAGTTCGGTGTAGTCTTCTTATCAGCGAAGCCTCAAACCAAAACAGAGCGATCGTTTCATAGCGCCTCTCCGGATGGACTGGGCGATAGCGATAGCGCTAGGGGATGTGGATCAACATCAACCCATTGGCAGTTTGACCGCAGCCACAATGCCAAATGGCCAGAAGGAACGGAAGAAAGAGAACCTGCTGCTGGGGTTGCTCGGGCTGCTCGCCTTCCTGGTCCTCTGCTTGGATTCAGTGGACGGGATTCGCTGCAAGGTGCCGTACGAGAAGGTGCAGGAGAAGTACTGCTACTTCATAGCCGACGAAGAGCCGCTGGTGAGTAGTGGTCCCTCCAGGGATTTCGATATGATTCATCGAGCATCAGGCTCTTTTCCGCGGTACCCGCAGCACACCTCCTTCCACAACTACTGCTACCAGGACAAGAGGACCTCGCGCGTCTGCCTAGACAGCGACGAGGAGATGCGTATCCTGGCGCGGCACCTCTACGAGATCGGCTTCCAGAACGGCACCCAGTTCTGGAGCGCCGGCCACCGCTGGCCCGGCGACATGCGCTTTTACTGGAACTATTTCGGCCGCGCCCGGGCTCTTAACTACTCGAACTGGGCCCCGGACGAACCCACTCCCCACATGGGCCGCAACTGTCTGATTCTCACTCTGCGTGCCGGGGAGCTGCTCATGAGCAGCGAATCGTGCTACACCCGAGCAGTCGATATTTGCGAGCAGACCCTAACCAGCGAAAGCGAGTTGCGAACTGTTATTCACTGATTCACTGATGCTCGTAGACTCGCAGTCTCCTCAGTCGATCAGTCTTTGGCAATACCCTTTGCGTCCTCTTATAAAAAGTCTAAGTCTTTAGAAGGATTAGGATTGAGGCATAAATTAATGCAAAATATTAAAGACATGTTTGAATAACTTCGACTACGAGTCTCACTGTTACATACGTACTCTCTACAAAATCGAATATAGCCCCTGTATTTTATTCTGAATTTTAAAACGCAGTCATAAATGGAATAAACAAAAAGCCGACTCATACGAGCGTTATCTTACAATTTTATAAGTCACAAAAGCGATAATAATATCAGCAATTTCTGAATAAGTCGACAGAGTGTTCTTTATTTTATATATGAATACTGTGAATACTGCACTCAGTCACTCATACGCTATGGCATCGGAATGACATGCTGAGAAAATGACAAAAACGAGAAAATTTTCAATTTTATGCGTTTTTCTGTGGACGGCTTGTCAGAGCGAGGCTACATTCGATCGGGTCGGGAAAGGATACTATTATATCGGCAATGAAGACAGCGTAAGTGGTATACAGCTTAGTCGTGCTTTTTCGAAAGGGAAATTTAAAGGCTCCACCCAAAATCATTTCAGGCGTTACGAAACTGTGACTGGTTTCTTTCGAGAAGAGACTGCTGGAATCACAAGAGCCAGCTGGTGTCCGTGGAAACGATGGAAGAGTTAAAGGCCCTCGAGGACTACGTTCGCTCCAAGGAATTCGCCGATGGCAGCACCTTTGCCACGTCAGGCCACAGCTTCGACAGTGAAATGCCCTACTCCTGGGAGGGAGTAAAACAACCGCTGACCTTCACCCGCTGGCTGCCCGGCACGGAGCAGCCGCTGTCAAAAAGCTACCTCAGTCTGGTGCTCTCCAACTCGACGTTATATATGCGGCGATCCTTCGGATACGATAACTACTATATCTGCGAGTATCAGCCAGCGCTCATGCGGCTTTGGCTATCCCTGAGCACACTGAACTTGATAGCACTAGTATGTTTAATACTCCTTTCGATTCGCCTCTTGATATTTCTTTATAGGGGAAAAACAAAAGCGAACACGAAAGTGCCTGACAAGGAACAGCTTATAGTATGACTTTTAGTTGTTTAGTTTTAGTTTCAATAAATATTCATATGTAATAATGAGTCTAATATTCCCCGAATTCACAAGACCAGATTGGATTCGGATTGTATGCGCTCGGAAAATCGTTCTGGAGATCCGTACATCTGATCCGTATTGAAGAAGAAGATTGCCTCTGTACTGAAAACAAAGCACACAAAACACAAGCCCTAATCTGCAGGAAATAACGGCTCTGTGGATGTAGAGTATGTATGTGTGTATGTATGTCCATATTTATTACAAAACTCATCACGAATCGTTCGCATGACTCTTTTGAAATCTGTTTATACTATGTACGTATGTAGGATACGATTACTTGCCATAATAAGTACAATATCCAATGGCAGTTCCAGGTTATAGATCCCTTGCATTAACCGATATTTCGTAGTTGTTGTCTTATTTAGATTACAAGGAGTATCTTGCACAAGTTCATAAGAGCTGCGGTGTTGATAGGGGCTCCTATTAAATGATATATTGGCTATAAATAAGTATGTACATAAGTACACATATATATACATATGTGTACGTAAATGTAGAATAAGTTCGTTTTGAGAACTCATTGCAATTATCAGCAGATTGTCGCTGCACTCGTAAACAACTTTTACAGTATTACAGACTTAAGGACGTACAGACAAGAACAAAGGAATTTTCCGCGTAATCGAAATTCCCCCAGCTATATCAATTCTACAGAAATGAATTGATCGTTGGGAAAGGGTATAGGAAGATCGGCCTAAAGTCGGAAATCTTTCATTCTTGCCGCATTATAATTTACTCAAATTATACGAAAAAGAACCGCAAAACGGATGAAGATAATATTGTTGTTTATTGTTGTTTATTCAACAATAAAAAATTTACCCGAGCTGGGCTTTGGTTCTGGAGCGGATAATGACTCAAGCTTATCGCTTAAAGTGCCGTCCAAAAGTAAACGATTAAAATGAGTAGTTCCGAATACTCGTATTTATAAAACAATTAAATCGATAACATTATCAAAATACTCAAAGTCATAGGGTATCGGAAAGCAATCATCATCTTATCCATCCAGCTGATTTCAGAAAAATAAATATTTAAATGCTTTCCGTCCTTCCGAATGCCCATCAGAGATAAGAGCCGAATCGATAAAGTCAAGTCTTGTTGGATCTATGTTGGACCGTTAAAAAATAATTTGTTTGAGAAAAAGAATGCAATTAAACTTCATATATTGTAATCTAATATCAATGTACCTAGATCAGGCATATATCAGATATCTAACACAGAAAACGATCGATCTAAAAAGGTACATATGTGAGACCCCGAATCAGGAATTTCATTCATAATTTTAGTATTCGAAATATTACCGGTGAAACTTAATCCGGAACATGTCCAATAGTTTTGCGACGCACTGTACTCTCCTGCTAGTGTTGCAACACCTGCTCGATCCGCAAGCTCTTCGCTTTCCTGGCGTCACTTCTGTCTGTTGAACAGAATTTGTGCTATAATCAAACAAGAACTTAATTCAATAATTCACTACTCCTTCTCACTCTTTCCCTTCGTGTCTCTCCCTCTCCTTGTATCTGTATCCTCTCTCTATCCGCTTGCTGGCTTCTCTGCCCGGGAAGTGTCTGCCGTTTTGGCTTGTAATACAAATAAATGTCGACTAAACGCTTTTAAACAGTCACAGACAATGCGTCGTCGAGTCGTCTGGGAGCGCCAGGAGGCCGAGACAAGCAAGGCCGTCCCGCCTCAAACCGGAAGTGACGACAACACGACCGGCAACGGAGCCCATCCCGCCCACGATGGATGCGGCAATTAACTCAAATTGATAATGACAACGAAAAGTTGTAGGCAACCTCTCCGGGAGATGGTTCTGGTGCTGGTTCGTTGACGTGATTTCATTTTGAGTGCATGCAAAATGGCGACACATTTCGACACGTCCTTTGACAACGCCCTTTGGCATAATTAAAACGAAATAATTTTCGACAACTTTGGTTTGGCTTTTTTTCGCCTCCTGTATCCTCCTGGTGGTAGCCTGGCCCTGGCCCTAGCCCTGCCCCTGCCCCTGCCCCTGGCTTACTCATCGACTTGGGGCACGTAGATTGAGTCTGTCATGTGGAGAGCGAAACTTGCTCCTCCGGAAGCTCTCTGGTTCCGGCTCTGCTATCAGTGTTCATGTTGGAATTTTTATTTAATTTGCTTTTGCTGTCGTGGGGTTTTAGCTTCTTTTTCTTCCCAGCTCCTGTTTTGTTGTCTTCGGAGTTTGCTGCATTGTTTGAAATTAATTTCACTTGTCGTACATTGAACCATCACAAGGGTCTCCGTCTCCATCTCCATCTCCTCGAACCCCGAACCCGAACACCGAGCCTCACCCCGTGCTGCTCCTTTCCTTTGTCAAACGATGTGTGCGTGCCGTTGTCAATGCCGCTTAGCACTGCATATGTCTAAGGAGACAAAAGGACAAAGGGAAGGGGCGTTCGATCTGAGAGAGTTGGCAAGTCAAACGCTGTTGAGGAGGCCCAAATTCTGGTTTGGAGCTGCAGTCGCTTGGCAATCAACGCGCTAATCATTTTGGCAGTCGACAGTGCACTTCCCAAACTGGCTAACTGACGGACTGAGTGACATTCCGGGAAGCCAACAACTCGTCGTCCGGCCCGGTCCCGGGCCAGGTCCCAGGCCCACCGCTCTGGCTGTTCTGCCTACTGCACGTTCCTCCATTTTTACACCCAGCCCTCGGCGAAGGCAGCTTGGCCCAACTGACAGCAACAGCTAACTTATGTGGCCAGAACTCGTTTCAGAGCTAGGGATGGGCCAAATATGGCGATATTCAACAGGACACGATGGACAGGATTTCTGTAAGCCGTCCAGAACACAGGACACGTATGGAAAAATGAAATTCTTCCAAACAAGAGAGTTTCCAATAAACCTCTTTCTTTCGTTTCCGAATGTTTCATAGAGTTCGATATCTCCACCGTCTTCCATGCTAAAATATTGACATAGGTGTGATAAATTTTAATATGGATATTCTATTATCGATCCCCCATCATCCCTAGCCAGAGCTCGGATCGGGCCGGGCTGCATCCATCTGCGGCTCTCGCGCATTAATCACTGACAATAATGAACTTCCGGGAACTGCTGTTGTCATTAGCGCAATGTTGCAGAATTTATCGTGTGACTTACGAGAGGAGAGAAACGATGTGAAACACAAGCCTGGTCCAGGCCCGGCCCCCGTTTGTTCTGGCCTGGTCTAGAGTCTAGACAGACTGACCTCTCTCTCTGCTCGTAAGTATTTGCGGGCTGGCTGTTTTTGCGTTAGCTTTTCTTATTTTTTGTGATTTTTATCGCTTCGATTTACGACTCATAAAAATGTTAGAGGAGATACTTTTATATGTCGCCGCCGTCCGCCATCCTCCATCGCCCATCGCCCATCCGCCATCTATCCACATGGGATAGATATGCTGCTCGGCTCTCAATAGCCGCCTCTCTTGTGGCCATTTAATGCTCGACTGCTCCTGCAAGTCAGTTGGCAGGGCTGTAGCTGTGCGTCTCAATGTTGTTGATTTTATGGGGTTTTAGCGATGCAGAAATTATTCGCATGCTGCCAGCGGCGCAGTTGTACCAAATAAACATAGTGAAAGCCATTATACTCGTAAGTGGAGAAAGAAGCTTGAACTTTGAACGGCTGCCCAGAGAAGTGACCCCTAGGTCGGTCTATCGTCGCAGCAAATATCAGTAGTTAAAATGAGATACAAGTATCGTTTGCATGTTAGTAAGGAGTAAAAAAAAAACGGGGAAAGCAATCGATGGATAGCCAGGGAGCCAAATCCGGAGAGTCTGCTACTCCCCAAGCCCTTTAGCCCGTAAGCCCCAGCATAGGGCTGATCTCATCTGAATACAATTTGTTATTCCCCACACACGGGTTAGTTAGTTAGCAGCAATTTCCCTACCAACGTCCTGCATTTGACAGTTATTAGATTAACACCTACCAATCTGCCATGGGGCGAGAGGGAGAGGAAGGACTGCTCTCTCCTCCCCTGCACTCTCTTCAGTGTGGGACAGACAACGGATACTCGATTACTCTCTCTGTTTCTGGGCCTGGGCCCAGGCGATGTTGCACGAAATTGGACAAACAATAAAGCGCTCAAAATGTATGCGAACATAAAATCTCGGCCAGACCCCGGTCCCCGGTCCCGGTCCACGCAGGAGCAGGAGCAGGAGCAGGTCGAAACAAAAGGCAACTCTGTCGGCCATGTTCAATGATAAAGAGCAAAAAGGGAGCTCCGCTCCTGCACGGGATGTCAATTCCAGACAAACAACCCAACGAAGGCGCATCTATGTATATATGTATATGCATGCTCGTACGTATGTATGTACCTATTGATAGATGAACAGGATATTGATATATACAATATGTATGTGCATATACATATGTATGTACATATGTATGTGTATATGGCTTATATGACATTCAAGATGGTTGGCCCTGCCCCCCACTGACGACTGTCCATTTTGAGCAGCATATAAAAAGCTTTTGCCGTTCGGAGTGACTCTGGATGTGGGAGTGAATTTCAGTTGAAAGCTGTCAGTGGCTGTTTAGATTTACGTGCCGCACTGCAGCCATGTCAGATGAATGGTGAATGGTGAATGGACAACACCCACGGACCAGCTGCCCCCAGTCCTGATCCCCGGACCCCGGACCCCATTCCACAATTGCACTTTGTAACAATGCAAAAACACACAGACCCGGCCACAGACACAGACCCACACACACACACACACACACACACACACACTCACCCTGATGGCAGCCGCCCGTTGTCATCGCTCTGACTTTTTGTTAATGAAAGTGTCAGCTAGACAAACGCACTCAAACCATCCACTCACCTCACCTCACCTCACCTCACCTTACCTAACCATGGAACCCTCCCCCAGACCCATCATCATCCTGCCATGGCAAGCCTTTTGTGTCGGCTTTCGGCCTATTTTGAGCTGGTGTTCTATGGGCCTTGCATTTCGGGCCAATAAATTATGATCTGGCTGATTTGCGCTGTGGCTGTGGCCATTGTAAGCGCTTGGAGCCCCAGCGATATTGTTGTCTGGTTTGTTCAGGGAACATTTCATTTTCCCATTTGGCCCGAGCTCCTAATGGGAGAAATTTTATAATTATTTTCTACATGATATATGCATGGCCAATTCACTCATTGCCTCCATACCACTCCGTACCACTGAAATCGCAAGATAAATCCATGCGGCGAATACAGACCAGAAATATCCAATATTATTAGCAAATGTTCTGCTAAGGAAACAATGGCACAATACTCAAAAGAACTTTCAAACGAAATTCATCTGCGAATGCACCCTAAAAGTATGCAGTCAACATCAATGCAGTTTCTCCAGCACGACGAATGAATAGTGTTCGGAAGCCAGGTGTTCAACGAGCCAAACGACAATATCGAGTCCAGTTTTCCTTTTGCTGGCTATAATAATTATTATAATGATCCTTCCGGGATATAAGACATCTCTATTTTGACTCGGCTTTTGGTGCTGATCAAAAATATTTATGTATACTTTTTGGGGTTCCATCTGTCTAGTAGATACATTTACACGCATGTACATATATGTATGTATACTCCTATTCCTTGAGTACCGGGTATATACATCTCTATCCATTTAATTTAATTTTATTTCATGCTATATCCTAACGCTACAAGTATTAACATATTTTTAATGCGCTAGTCACTTAGGATGTGTAATTCGTTTTGTAAGAGTATTTACTTAAACTAATACTTCCAAAGGCGGATAGCAATGATGAAGAACTGCACTGACCTGCCTCTTCGAGCAATGCTACTCTCGCTTCCCTCGCTTTCCTCGCTACTCTCGCTAATTTTCTAATCCGCAATCAGTCTACTTACTTATTCGCTCATATTTTGCTATTCAATGTGGGCATTTTTCCTGGGTAATATTATCCGACACTTTTATCAAATCGCCAGAGAACCTTTTCAGCAATTAGCGAGGGAGTTGGCTTGACTCTTGACGCTCCCAGTCCTTATGCTCCATAATCCTAAATGCTTCCAACTCAATTTACATGCCAGAAGGGCTAAAGAAGCTACATAAAAAAGGGAAGGGGGAAAGGGCGCACAGGGTCCGTATGGAAGGGGAGGTAACAAGTCTTGACTTAGGCCAGGGCACATTATTAAAACGCGGATAAGTCGCGACGTGCAACGATGTGTTGAATGAAAGTGAAAAGCTGTGCGTGGGCAATTAGAGAGCGACGGAGGGGCAAGAGCAAGAGCAAGAAAAGTCGAGGCTGAAAACTAAGTCGGATAAGGGCAGAGAGATGTTATTCGCATGCTGGATTTTAATTAATTCAGGGCACACGAAACAGAGCCGAGATGGAGGTACTGATAGTACCTCTCCCTCGCTCTGTTCCAAGTAGGTTAATGCTGTGATGGGAGATACAGAGACAGACGGGGGTGGGGTGTCTTGGTCTGAGGGATCCCCACCAGACGCCTTAATTGACGGGCGTTACAAAATATTTACCGGTACTCGTACATTTACCGTTGCCTCACCGCTACGCGGGAAATGGAAAAAGATGATAAAGTGCGCAAATGTTTGCACTTTCCCTTTATGACTCTTTAGAGACGCCAACAGTTTTAGGTGTGATGTCGGTGTGTGTCTGGGTGTGTGTGTGTGTGTGTCTGGGTGTGGGCGAAACCCCATCCCGAGCTCCCGCACAGCCCCCAACGCATTATTCAGCCCAAATTGTTTGGTTTCGGGCAGTGGATGGGGATGATGGAGGTATGGTATGGGTCGCACCCTCGGCGTGTCGACGTCTTGATAAGAAGGTGTTGCTACATAAATATTTTCATATTTATACGAATAATTTATTTACATTTTACGGCTGTGTGTCTCTGCTTTGAGGGTGCTCTGAATTTCGGCACTGTTTCGGGGATGTGGATGTGTGCTTTGGGGCCGAGTCGAGGCAACCCGCCCCCCCTCTATTGACAACCCCAATTCCGATATTCGAATTGTTGGAACCAGACTGTCTGGCATTTTCATCTAGTAGCCCAGCCTGTGATATGGCTCTATATTTCCCACATCAGAACTAAAAATCTCAGTCCGAACATAGTCATTCCAATAGTACAATTAAATCTGAATTTCAACTCCAAAAGTCTAGAGATTTTTATACTTTTCTACAAAACAATAAATCAGATACATATTTCCATATCTACTGCTGTTCACAATACAAAAGAAATGTGCTCGAATACCCAAGAACGTGCAACGCGGCCCCACGAGCCGGGACGAGTGTGTCGCGAATCGCTCTACTTGCGGTCGAAGCGGGTGAGTGTCCTGCACCCTCTCTGGAGAGTTCCCACATTGACCACATTCACCTCCTCCGCGAACAGCCCAATCGAGTTGTCCCCGCCTTCACCTACCAGGCTCTGCAGAAGAACACTGTGGTAAAGCCTCCTCCAAAGTGAGTACGAAAACATAGCTGAACCGGAACTTAGACTAGGTCCTCCCTCCCACTCCACCACTTAGAATCGACATCTTTAAGCGGCGACCCGTGAGGGAGACTGTCTTTAAGATCTACTTCAGTCGCGGGGATATCCCGTGTGTCCTGGCTGGACGTAGCAACAAGCAGGACCCCACCAAGGATCGGCCTCTGCGCTGGAACTGCGTGCCGGAGGAGCTCGACTACTGCTACTATCTGCCAATCTTCGTGGACGGGCTGGCGGACATGGACAGTGACACGCGGCTGCTGGCCATCAACGGAGCCATCGACCTGATCATGCGCTCGCCCAAGAAAGTGCTGCCCGTGCTGCCGAAACTGATTCTGCCGCTGAAGCGGGCCTTCCAGACCCGCGACAAGCGCATCATCATCTCCGCCCTACAGGTGGTCCAGCTGATGGTGCGACTGGGTGAGTGCTGGGGGCATACCCATTGAAATCGGAGCAGAAATCTACAGCACTTCCTGGCCCTTGTTCCTTGTTCCTTAGGTCCCTGTGTGGGCCAGGCTCTGGTGCCGTTCTATCGCCAGCTGCTGGCCGTTTGCAACCTTTACAAGAACATCAACGTGAATCTGGGCGAGGGCATCGATCCGGACCGCAGCAAGCGCATCGGCGATGTCATCGAGGACACCCTGAAGCTGCTGGAGTACTGCGGCGGCCCGAACGCCTTTATCAACATCAAGTACATGGTGCCCACCTACGAGAGCAGCGTCTTTCCCCGCTGCGAGATGCCACCGCCACCGTAATCAATTTGATATTTCGATCTAATTAAGTTGTGCTTTCGATTTCAGTTTATTTAGTTTCGTTTTTCGGCCGGCAATTACTGAAAACAAAATTAAGCCAAATTACTATTTTTGTAATTTTTCAGATCAGAGTTCATTAAATCCATAGTTCCATATCCTGGATACATAGATCCCCTCTAGGACTCCATTTGTCTGAGAGAGTATTCGTGTGCCGCTCCCCTTAACCCGCGAAAGCCGCCATCTGTTGGACAGTCAAGTGATAAATGCCTAATTAATTTTTAATTTTCGGAAAACAAAGGGCAGAAGCTGCAACGCCAATGGAGTGGGGCACGTGGTAAGGGGAACTGCTTATTTTTTGTAGCCAATTGAAGAAATGCGCCATAAATAAAAAGCTCATTACCATAAATCATAAAGTGGAAATTGTTCAATGCGCCGCTGCGGCTCTTTTAATGGAATATCCATGTAGAGAGTGTTGACTGTCTGGCAGATACATTTGTCTAACGAGAGGGTGTCCCGTCCCGTCCCGTCCTTTCCTGTCCTTTCCTGTTCTGGCCTGTCCTCCCTCCGCCTGCGTGTCTGCGTCTGCCTTCCGTATCTCGCTCCCCCCAGAAATTTATCTCTGGCCAAAATCAAGCAATGGGCCACACACTTTTGACTTTTGAGCACTCCCCCCTCCCCACCCCACTCTCCAACATCTGAAAATCGGGGGACGGGCACACTCTAAATTTAATTTACCTAAATTGCTTGGGGTGGATGTGGTTTAGGCATGGCTATTGCCTGGCCACTGCTCCCGGTGGCTACTGACATTTCGAAATTGCTCATTGCGCTTTTCAGCGTAATTAAGGACGACCCTCCATAATTTTTGAAAAACAAATCTTGTTATCAACGCGCACCAACACGAAACAGTTGTCCACAGTCCACAGTGGACAGTTCTCTGTTCTTGCTCCTGCTCTGCTCCTTGCCGGTAGTGGGATGGATGGTCACTCCGCCTATGGTGTGGTCTGAGATGGGTTGGGATGGGATGGGATGGTCTGGTCTGTACTGGGCTGCGACCTGCTGACTCTGCCCCCATCCAGACTGGTGGGTGGGTTGCTTGGTTGGCTGGTGGGTAGATTGTGGTGCGTAGATAAAAACCTGCCAAGTGTTGCAACTCAATTTGCCCCACACCACAGCCCCGTGCAGAGCGAGCCACGCCACCCCTCTGGGCTTGCTTCGAGTCGCGTCGAGTCGTTCCAGCACACAAGTTCTTAATTCACTTTTTGGTAGCGTGTTTTTCCCCGCTGCTGATTCCACTTCGTTTTTTTTTTAATCTCCTGTTGACGGTAAATCAAACAGTCCCCCTGGGTGCAGCGTCACTTGACGACCCTCCTGTTTGCTAAATTGCATTTGCTTGCTGCGAATTTTCCATTTTATTGTTTGCCCCCTGTATCGGCTTCAGCTTCGGCTTCAGCTTCAAACTGCTGTTAAAACGTTTTGACATTTTATACGCACTTCTCGGGGAGCGCTTTTTATTGCGTCGAGAACCCAGACACACTGACAGTAGTCGCCATAATGACAGGGGAGTGGAGCGGGGACTGGTCTGGTCTGGGCAAGGGGTACTCTGTGGGGCGCCAAAACTCTGATTTAGATAGAAAATCCTTTCAAAAGATTGCAATCGAAATGGGTTTATAATAAGATTCGAGGTAGCCCAGTTTCAAGAGTCGCAAATTGAAACATTTCGAGAGTTGAATTAAATGGCGGAAGACAGATTGTAGCAGGTAACAGGTAGAATCCACATTGAAGGAAAGTAACCATAGATAAATGTATGCGAGCTATGTTGCATTCAACTGTTGCAGATTGCAAGGGCTGCAGATTGCTGGAGATGTAAGAAGTGCTGAGCCGGATATTGAGTATTCCATTGGGTAAGTACGGTGAATATGTGTGAGGCTTACACCCTTCTAGACTTGCGTGAATTTATACCAATTAAGAAATCCCTATAGCCGAACCTTCGTTTCCCTCTCCTGAGAACTGGCAGTAGACAGAACACCCCGCTCTTTCGCAGCATTTCCAAATGTGATATCAATTTTTGGGCTGCCACCGTAAAGTACTCTAGCCTTGACTCTCCTGATGCTCGTCAATTCGCCCACACGTTGGTTACATCGATGCCCAGGAGGGCTTTTCCATCGCACACACACGCACACATCTCAAACACAACTCAAACACATCCACAGGAGCAGTCAGCAGTCATATGCAGGACACCACTCCCCCATTAAGCCGTACCGTACCCATGGCCCATGGCAGAGAGCCTGCATACCCGTGCAAGTGTGTCCGTGTCCGTGTCCGTGCGCTGTGGCCAGTGGGTTGGAAATTGCTTTAATATACCGGAAATTGCAGGAGAGTTGCATAAATTGACACGAAACGCCCGTGGGCACAATTCGGTCCCATCCAATGTAATGAGCATTTCAGACATCAGCGCGGAAAACGAAAGTGCTGCCCACCCCACTCCACCTCGAGCTCTTATCGATTGAGATTGGGAATTCTGGATTGGAGATTGGGGATTGGGGACGCCGGATTGATGGCCGCCCCTCATTTGAATCAATCGATGACGCGACTCGAGTAAATATTCAAATTCAGAACAAAGAAAACCCAGTGCCCAGCCGGACAATCTGAACAGCGAGAACTGCATGAATCTCTACCGCATCGGGTAGCCCTGGTTCATGAACTAATACTCCTGCCGCAGCAAGCCCTCGTACATCTGTGCACTCGACACGACACGAGTGTATATCAATTAATTATGCAAAATATTCGAGAATTCCAACTAAAAGATTCGTTCTTCATGTTCCACGAGTTCAGAGATGCAAAGACTCAGGTCCTGTAAGTGCACAGTTGTCTGTGCCAATCGTTTTTAATTCGATACAAATGGTTCTAAAATCAAATCAATTTTCTCGTCTTTAACCTGTTGAACAGTGAACTCTTTTGACAACATTTTCTATCGTAACAAAGTGGATCCTTAGCTCAAAAGAGGTGGCTAAATTCGTATCCTGGGATTGGATAATTAGATATCTTAGCGCAAATCTTAGCGCATCGATAGAAAATAGAACGAGAGATATGTGTGAGCATTCAACGATGACCATTTCTTCAGTGAGCAGAAAACTTACTCAATTTTTATGCAGCCGATTTCAGCCAGGAATCATTTAAATTGTATAAAAAACAATTCTTATTTCCTTCTATACATTGTGATGTTTGTTTATTTATTGAAAGCGAAACCAAGCGTTTCAGCCATTCGGTATGTACTAAGCAACGAAGTTATTACATATATTAACATTGGAGTACGCATGGGGCAATCAGTGTGGCAGGGACAACAACGCATAACAAAACTCCTGAGGCTCGAATTATATGTAAACTCTACAACACTTCTGTTCCGATCTGACTGAGACTCCTTCTGAACAACCTCGCATAGATATGAATATTCTTTGAAGCAACTCAGGTCGTGCATAAGCCAATTTCCGCTGCTGACCTTGATGCCCAGGCAGCTCTCCGCACTGTACGAGTCATTGGGTTCGGCGGTAGCCCACTTGAAGTAGGTCCGGATCTTGGAGTTTGCCAGCGAGATCCAGGCCCCGGACTTGATGCCAAAGCCAGAGAACCAAACCGCTTCGTCTGAACCAAAGCCCAACTGATTGAGGTATTGCGATATGGCATTCAGCTCTTGCTCGCTGTCGATGGTAGCCAACTGCCTTCCCAGGTCCATGCAACTTCTGGCTGCATCCCACCAGTCGAACTGAAATTGGAGGACATTATTGCAGTGGAGCAGAACACGTCTGGAGCAGGGAGCATGGAGTATGGCATTACCTTGCCGCGCTCCAGCTTGTAGGCGCTGTCTCCCAACTGGACATAGGCCACCGAGCACTTGAGTTCCTGAGCCAGGACGCACTGGAGAGCTAGCTACAGGATGGGTAGCAGAAGAAGTACCCTTCATGGTGCAGATTACTGATTATTGTCTGTCCCTCTGCAGCAAGGCAGGCGCATTTATATGCCTGGTCTTATCACCTAATGGCTGATTAGGAAATAGTCCATGTTCGGGCCTAGTTTGCTTTCGGCGTTCCGCCATCTCCATTGCGGGAGGTAGGGGCTAAGTACACTGTCTGGGAGCGATGTTGTTTGAGCAGACATAAAGAGGCCATTCCGTCCATTTGCAGTCCCTGTTTAGCCAGTCACGACCAGACACAAAAGAGTGCAGGGCGCAGCTGGTCGCATTTTCACGAATCACGTGCGCGGTGCGTTCCGTGGAAGCTGCCCGGAAGCAAATCGAAATTATCACCAATTTGCAGTCATCGAAATCCAATTATGGGGCGGGGCGTGTGGGTGTGGGAGTGGTAGTGGGAGTGGGAGTGGGCAACTGTAACCCCCGGATTCCACGTCGGACAATGAGTGTAAGTGCAGACCTCCACTATCCATGCATGCCATATGCTGGCAACGAGATACACAAAAGTGCAGCGCGACAGCGGCGAGACCTGGACCTGGACCTGAACCCGGACCTGGGACCTGTCCCCGGGATCGGCAGCAATAATCGGATTAGGTTGGCTGCTGCTGCTGGAAAAAAAATACATAATTTGCGAGAATTGTCACACGAAACGGTCTGGGACCCTTGCAGCACGGGGCGACTTATTTGCAATTTGCGAAATGGAATCGAATCGAGACTCGGGCAAGGGGCTGTGGCAGGGGCAGGGGCCGGTAACGGGGCGGGGCGGTGCAGGTTCAACAGGACACTAAATCATGCGTGTCAAGTCGAGGAGTTCTTGTCTCTATCAAACTCATCATAATCGCCCCTGCGTACGCATCATTATCGACTGCATTCTCGTCCCTATGGGGGTTGAGTCGACTACCCTTGTGTCGGGTTGGGTTCGGTTCCGTTCCTCTGTTCTGTTTTCGTTTAGTTCCGGCATGCGACAGATGCAACAGACGTGCAGACGGTCCGGGTCTGGGTCCGAGTCCTGGGGTTTGGGGTTTGTGGCACGACCGCAAGCGGCTCTCAATAGAACATCCCGGCGGTGGAATCCTATCCGCTCCACCCCCTCGTAGCTGTCACTGCTCATTGTCAGCTAAGTGCCGGGGTGTAGACGGTGCGGGGGTGACGGCGAATGGCCACCAGGCCGCAGCGGCAGGAGCAACAGCCCTCGAAACGATGGTGTCGGCTGCGGCAGAGAAATTTTCATTTTCAAGGACCTTAAACCAACTTTTTTTCTCTCCAGCAACCTGCCAGCTCTTGTGGGAAGGTGGCCCTGAGAGAAAAATTGCATGCACAGTGGGACACCGCATGGGGAAACTGTGAACTAGTAATGACAGGCATACGTAAATAACTTCGAGAAACTACTCCAAACAGATTCAAAAGGTCAGACCTAAACAGACTTCGGTCTGGAATCAGAGCCTGGAATTCAATCCTCACTTGCGCCCATTTTTTGCCGATATTCGTGAGAGTTATCGGTCTGGAAGCCAAACGGGTCCGAGCCGCCAACAAATAAATAAACTTAGGTAAATGAATTTTCAAAGAGCATGTACAAAAATAATCACGGGATAAAAAAACAACCCAAAAATTAGATGGTTTTGAAAATAAGTTTTTCTCTAGAACTGTCTATGCAAGGGACCAGTTTTTCATTTAAATCTGATGTTAGTGAACACACATGGTAAAAGTACTAAAAACAGAATCATACCTCACACAGTTTACTCTTTATTTAACCTGAATAAATATAAATAAATGAATATGTCAATAAAAGTTGAATACATTTTTCACACGGAAATTATTTTGAACTAAACGAAAATTCCGATTTTCTTGAAACTTTGATTTTTAAATCTGGAAAACTCTCTATCGGATTCGTGCATTCATTTTATCCAAAGCGTTCTACAAATACATTGACTTTTACCACCTCTTTGCGGCTGATATATGTAATATAATAATATAATCATATGTGTATGTGTATGTTCAATGGGATCGTAGATACTTACAACTATTTCAAACAAGACACTAGGGTTCAACAGTTCAACAATTTTGGGTACACATTTCCATTTTTACCATAATAAAAATGGACATTGACACACTGTGCCTGCCACCCCACACGTTCCCGACCGCGACACAACAAAGAAGACGATAAGACGACAGACGACGCTCTTTGGCTTCCGGTGCACTGCAAGGATGATTTCCACTTCGCCAAGGGAGGGGAGGGTGGTATGGCTGCTGGTTGGCAGCCAACAGCCGACAACAATAAAAGGAAATTCAATGAGTTTTGTGATAATTTCGCACTACACGAGAAACGATAAACCCGAGCAGACGAATCCAAAGAGCAGGCAGACTAGCAGAGAGAGAGAGGAATCCGTAAACGAGCAAATAATAAAAATTTTATGTTCAAGCAAAGGAGAGACAAAATAAAAATAAAAATAATAATAATAGAACGCGATATAGAAATACATGAGTGTGAATAGGCAATGAGGGAGAGGGGGGCCGGACTCGGATGCGGATGCGGATACGGATCGTGGTGAGGTGAGGTGAGGTCGCTGGGATCGGACGGGGAGGGTTGTTCCGCTGAGGTGTCGGATGGCGATGGCCCTTGGCGGGTGATTCGACGATGGTTGCTGGGGTTCGAGTGGTTGCAAATCAAACGGCAACAATGCAATCAAAAAAAAAAACTCCCGTCCCATCGTGGGTGCAAATTTAGTTATTGTCTAGAGGTCCCTTTGGGCCTCTGGGAATTCCTTGGCCATAATTTAATTCGCCCGGCCCATTATTTCATTAGTTCAGGCATGCCCGCCCCCTGCCCAGGAAAATTGTGCAATTTATTCTGGGAGAGTGGAAAGGAGGGAATGGAGTAGGACAGAATAGGCATTTTCCAACAGCAATATTCTACAAACTGTAAATGGCAGCTAGACGCATAAATTTGTAAATTTGTAAATTTCGATTTTGATTTTCCATTTTAATTGTTGGCAAAGCTAACAGGGCTAACAGGGCCAACCCACCCAACACAACCCAACCGGCGACTGTCTGGCACCATTGTCTTTTGCTGGCCAAACATGTTGTATCTTTGTATCTGCATCTGCATCTGTATCTGCTGGATACAGCTACGAGTAGGTGTTGCTGTCTGTGCGACTCTCGATAGCCATTCAGACTTCTGTCTGCTATTAAAATAAATATATATGTATATTTGTGTAATTATTATTTATGGGGCCCACAAATTCAAATGGCAAATAATTCCCCAAACCTTTCCCAGCGATTAAGAACTGCATTTACGAGTGCAGCACTGAAACTATTCTCTGTACCATAAGGTGAAGGCACAGTGCTATCCTCTTCAAAATTCCCTCTGTCAAGTAAGCAAGTTTCTGTGGTCTTGAAGTACCCATAGAATTATGCAAGGCATTCGCTGGAAACGCACTTGAACTTCTCTGGTATCTGGTCGCTGGTCGGTGGTCTCTGGTCTCTGGTCCGCCGAGTGCAGCACAAATGCATAGAAACAATGAAAATTAAGTTGATGTAAGCAGAGGCAGAACTTTATGCAAAACACTGCCAACGAACACACAGAACAAGAAGCAGTCAGTCAGAGCCAGGTCGAGAGCAGATATCAAAACACATTCAGATCCGATTCAGGGGCAGAGGCAGATTCAGATGCAGATGCAGATACAGGACTACAGTCCAGCCAAGCCGAAAGTCCACAAAAAGTATATTAAAAAAGTTGACAACGAAATCCATCTGTTTAATGGGCACACAACGAGTGTGGCCCGCCTCCCACGTGTCCACATGTATGCCCTTGTCCTGGTGCGCCTGTCTAATCCCAAAGATTACAAAAGGTCCCCCACAGAGACCCCATCGCACTAAGGGCAAAACTATTACGCTTGATAAATTCGAGATTAAAGTGCATTTGCAGCCGAACTGAGCTGAGCTGAGCTGAGCTAAGCTGAGCTGAACGGAAATGGGAGCGGGCGCACCCACAGTAAGAGCCAGGCCCAAAGGGCATACAATTTATGGTCATACATTTGCCAGGATTTCTTTCTTTCATGGAGCAGAGCCGGGAGGCCTTTTAATTATCACACGTAATGACAGCACCAAATGCAATTGCTAATTAATTGCTTTGGACCTGGCCCACTCCTGTTCTTGGGAGGATGATCCCCTGAATGGGGGGATGAATTTATGGCCCATACATTTGTTGTGCCTGACATTATTATTCCAACATGTGCGGTTATGGGGGGTTGGATTGAACTGAGCTGGGTGCAGATCCAGATACTTCTAATGCAATTTCCTTTCTCGAGAAAGTGGTTGATACGGGGCGTAATTTGACAAATGGGAAAATACTTCATTAGGCTTGAGGAAACTGTCGAATTACAATTGCGAGGGGGAAATGGAACAATGCAAGCAACGCAAGATGCGGATAAGAAAGTCCCAAAATAAAGCAGACAAACCTTCGAATACAACGCAATTTAGATGCGGACCCAACTTGAACTTGGGACGAGTTTTGGAGGCTGCCGCCGGCGCATCTGCGGCTAATGATGATAATCGTTTTGCGCTGTCAAAATTGCCACAGAATATAATGGCGATATCCATAGATAAACGCTCGTCCCATGATTAACGATGGGAGCATTATGAAAAACCCAACGCACAGAAGCGAAATAAAACTAAGCTCAGAACAAAAAGGTTCACCCGATACACAATGGAATCTTTAAGATACAACGGAAACTACATCAAAACAATCACAAAAGATGCGAGCCAGCCGATTAGAGACAATTACTGGACGGTGGCGGCTGCAGGGGGCTGCTCCCGCCTTACACATTCCTCTGATTGGATGCCCCCGTCCACACCCACACCCACAGCCACAGGTATAGCCACAGCCCCCCCGTGCAACAGCAACTCACCCCAACTCACTTATAGACCTACGACCAAGATCAAGTAAAGATCTTATCTGCAAAGCTCAAGCGGCAGAGGCAGAAACAGCAAACAGAAAACAGCAAACAGCAAAAGTCCACTGAAATGGAAACACTTAGAATTAGAAGCAAAAGCAACTTTTTTCTACTCCCCAGCTTTGCCAGTTAATTTTAATGAATCTCTGTAGGTATTCGGACTCGGTTTTGTTTTGTTTGGTTTTGTTTCGTTTCGTCTCGTCTCGAGTCGGGTCGTTTTGCTTAGTTGTTTGTCGACGGTTTTCAAGTGTGCACACGGGACGCGCTCAAAGTTCAAGTGTCCATTGCGAAACTCCTTGGAAAAACCCCCATAAAAATACCCCGTGCTCCAGCATTTATTTCGGTTCTCCGCCCCAAGGCGAGATGCTGCCAATATCAAAATCTTTCACCGCCTTCCTCTTGTTATTGCTCTGCATCATTCTGCTAACTCATCGCGGCGTCCAAGGTTGTTACGAGTTTACGTAATTGGTAGTACATTATCAATCAATCTACAGGTGGCAGATCATATCCCTCTGACTCAGCTGAAAGTTTTTGGGGCACCAGTTGCGTGTCTCTTTAAATTGGGGGTAATTCCAGTCGTGGGGGAACTACGACGCTTCGAACCCCTTTGACGCATCCAAAATATTATTGCTAATACACGAGTGCTCGGGATAGAAAGATAGACAGCGATATCTTACAAGAAAACAGTTCCAAGTTCCTTTTATCCTTATTATCATTGAAAGAGCCACAAAAGCTGGAGCTCACTATTTGCATCTAAAACTTTTTCGGTTAATAAAATATAGTAAATATCCCTCAATGGTTAACTTCTATATTCTGATGGCGAATGCTCTATTAAAGATTTTCGATTAAATAGCTAGTTGAAAGCTCCTTGTAGGCGACACGTAAAAAGATACTGCTCCTGATATTGCAAGTTAAGTGAGTGAAACTTTAAATTACGATATGCGAACTGACTTCTAATGAGGAATAGTTCCTCGAAGGCTTAATCTGTAGGATTAAGTCCACATTATTTAGCTTAGAAGGATGCTAGGAAAACCGCAAACTATAGCTATCGAACAAAGAGCCCAAGGGATGGCCTCTGGATGGAGTGGAGGTCACTCCCCGTTGCTAATCCGACTTTGATTAGGACAAATCCAATAATTATAATTCCGCTTGCGCATTCGAGTGTTTGAGTGCAGTGCAATGGCAAATCGAGGCAGTCGAAGTTCACTTGGCCCGGACTGGCTCGACTCGGCCCTGCTCTGCTCAGTCAGCCAGATTGGTTACGTTACGAGCGATGCATCCATAAATAAGTCAGCGTGTGCTAATTGCACCACTTACGAGTACATACATACATATGTATATGCCACGGACACCCTGGCGGTGGCAAGGGCGGTAGCTGTGGCTGTGGCGGACACGCTCCAATTCACCTGATTAAAGTCGAAGCTGAGGATTGCCAGGGACGGGAGATGGCTGCAAGTGTTTGCATAACTTTAATTAAATTTCTGCTATATCTAATTTCTATGCTAAACCTTAAACAAACAACGATGAACGTGGGACGTGGCTGGCAACCAGGTCAGGCGAATAAAGTGTCATCCAAGTTGGATTTCGATGAGAGCGATGGCATCTCCAGCGGCAACGGCAACAGCAACCAGACAGGGATGCAGCCCGGTATGCAGGGACAGGGTGGTAATGGGAGTGGCAGCTATGATCAGGGCGGCACGGGTCGCAGCTTTGGAGGAGGAGACAGGGCCACTGCCAATGAAAGAGGAGGTGGTGGCGGCGGAAACAGCAGCAATCGCCCCAAGATACACGGCGTGCGGGTAACCGTTGATACGGGCGATGGACAGCAGCAAACGAAAGGTAATTAGATTGGGCCAACCCCACACCTAAGCATAAGTTTGAAATGCAAAAAGAACATGCTGAAAGTAAAAATTGCAATCCCAAAAAAATCAAAAGAGTCCAAAGAGAGCGTGGAAATTACGGACCTCGGCAAGCACAAGAAGCGGGTGGGCATCCACACGGACATCACGTTCGAGATAACCTCCGAGGGGGAGGCCAACGAAACCAGCTCGGCCCAGAACCATGGGGAGAAGGGTGAGTGAGTGAGAAAGTGAGAGTCCTCCGTCACTTTCGTCCTCGTCTAACCCATTTCGCACCTTCCACTTTCAGAGGACGCCAGTGTGCCCATCTACAAGGGCCGCGGTGGCAGCGACTCAAAGCACAAGGCCCACAAGCCCTACGATCCAAAGTCGCAGTGGAATCCCAACTACTCCAGCGAGCACCGCGGCTATGAGGGAGGCAGTCGAGGAGGGTACTACCCACAGTACTATCCCCAGCATGAATATACCAGTGGAGGATCTGACTCAGGCAGTATTTATCGCACAGGCGAGACCTGGACGCACTACGTCCCTGTCTGGACAACAGAGCGCGCTCCCCAGGAGCAGAGCCAGATCTACCGCAGGCCGAGCTGGAAGCCCTGCTACTGCATGTCCTCCACTGATTACAGGCGTCGACGTGACAGCAAGGCCAGTCGGGGAATAGCAACAGCAAATGGAGCCAAGATCAACAGTGGGGTTGTCCAGGTGGTCGATGGCAAGCTAGAAAGGCCCTTCTCTTGATATAGCATTCTGGCACTTTATTCGCTCTTCAATTTTTCACAGAATAAAAACGCACAATCTAAAATTTACTTATTTGGCGATGTACGTACATAGTACAAAATGTATTTACATATTTAATATGAGTAATATTCTTTTGGCGTTTATAGTAAAGCAATTATTATTCGACTTTTTCTGCATCAATAGTGGCGTTTCCAACCATTGAGAGACTTCGACATTGAGAGACCCCAAGTACAGCCAGTGCATTGAATCCATGTAAGGGGATCGCATTATTCTCTTATGGTCGCATTCCACCAGTCTTCAAGTCCTATCTAAGCTGTAAGACAGTGAAGTAATGAGACACAACTATTAATGTATTAGCACAGGATCACTAGCAAAACCATTCGTGGATGATATATTTTTTTTTTCACTGTGATGTAGCATCTGAAAGTGTTATATAATTTTCCCAATAAATTCCAAGTTTCTGTTTTTTTTTTTTGTAATTTTATTGTAAAATATCGGAATATATTGATTCGATCGGTTTCTGGCAGTGTCATTCGTAAGGAATTTTTCCGTTAGCCTATGTAACATCAAAAATCAATTAATTCCTGATCTCGAAAAGGCCATCACTTGGCGTAGGTGTCTTCTCTATATTTGCACGGCTTTCGCCAAAACAACGGGATCGGCCAAAGCAGACACGATAAGAGCTACGCAATTAAAACACTCACACATAAACATATACACACCAGAGCCAAGCTGAGAGCGATAATCCAAAATGCACTCAACGATAAGCCGGCAGAGAAGAGCGCATCGACAGCGAAAGAGCGTACGCCAAGCGCACTGAAGCCGAGAGCGAAGTGCAGCGGGAGCAGCAGAATGCCCGAAGAGCGGGCAGAAGCACTATGAAGCAGCGGCAGCGACGTCCGCACCCAGGCCACGAGGTAGCTCTGGATCACCTGCCAGAGCGAGAGCGAAGACAGACAGAGGCAGGCGATCACTCACCGCTGCCGCTACCAAGTGGAGCTAGACGTAGGTGGCTGTAGGTGTCAAGAAGTGTGAGCGAGTGGAGTCATTTTGATAGCTACCGTCTACCGGAGCGGGATGAAAATACTCCCTCCATCGACGGAGGATCAAAAATGTGTTTTTTGTAACCTACCATCATAAAATCTATCCTTAACCGCGAGTTCATGCCTATTAATTGCGTAAAAACATAATTTATCCAATTATTTTGTGCGTCGGTTACTCTCTCCCTATCACACAAACCTAAATAACTGTTCTTCCTCTCTGGCTCACGAAGCTTTGAGTTCGGACTATGATGTACATATGTATATTGTCTGTGCCACTAAAACCTGCAAGACGCTGGTTTACAGCCTACAGCCGTGACCAGCCGAGCATTCCTTGCTAGCTCTCCGACAACGTTGTGCACGCAAAATGCATTCAGTGCCAACTCCAAGGGCAACGACAGCTGCTGGTGATGCAGATTCGGCGGCCAGATTCATCCGTCCGCGTCCGTGTCCGTAGAGTCCGTACCAACTTCATTATCTTTTCCGTCTATTCTGATCCCACTAGTTAATGGACGTCCCGGACAACCGGTACCAGACCTATGGTGCCAAAACCACTGGTGGGAGTCCCACCAAAGCTGCAAGTTTTTGTCTCACGGCTTGCCACTGACTAAAGGTCTAAAGGTGGAGAAATTTAAATTCTCTTATGCCAGAAAGATAGATAGATTCCTCTAAAATAAGCGTATCCCCAACTAAGTTCGAAACCATTTGCACTCGGTTGTGAAACAGTACAAGGCTAAGAATAGGCCCCTCATAACTCTCCCTAGTAATCAGGCCAGTGATCCATCCTCGTCTCCGTAACATATCAAAATGCTGGAGGCTTACTTAGGAAGCTCTGCACTCTTTTCACGGATAGTTTCATATTTTCGTCCCACGTTATTGTGTTTACCGAGACCTGGTTAAAGTCGGACATCCATAGATCCGAAGCTTTGGCAGGGCAGGTCGGTATACCACCTTCAGGAATTCGGTCTTCCCGATGTGGAGGAGGGGTTTTGATTGCAATTTTTCATCCCAGCTTTGCCATGGTCGTATAACAACCGTTTCGTCCTTGCTATTATATAAAGACCATATGATAGTTCTTGGTGATTTCAATTCTCCAGGTATCTACGGTTAGGTCTTCGGTAAACGAGTCTAATAACCTAGTGCCCATTTCCTCATTGATGAGAAGTGAGTCGAATAATACCTTTAATATAAATTTAATTTTGCAATAATTGGAGTGTATAAAATATCCAATATTCCGTTTCCGTTTCCATCATCTTGAGAATCATCTCTATCAAGACTATCAAGTCTCCCATTCTGTCTCCCGCTACGAATATATGCTTTGTGTCTTTCTCTCATACGGATTCCAGTTCTTCCTCATTCATATTCGAAAAACAGGTTATTGTACTATTCAGAGTAAGGACTACAATTGATTTAAAATTGAACTTTGCCATTAGAGAAAACAATCCAGGCGTTTATCCAGCAAACTTCAATGCTCCACTTCCAACATCTTTTCAAATCCAACTACCACAAATTAATTAGAAGCTTTTTATACCGAACCTAGAACAGCGTAACGCACAGATGGAAACATTTCTGACCGCATTCTTCATCAATTTTCGAGTCGATATCTGTCTGTCCGGGTGTCCATCTTGTTTGTCGCCTATTTCTCTAAGACTAGAACAATCAATTTTTTTATCCAGACTTCTGCGACACTTACAAGTGTATTTCAAAATTTCGACCCGCCCCCACAAAGAACAAAAATCTATGGCATCCACAATTTTGTAGATATTGGTTCAGTTCGGATTATTATTATACCCAGAATGAAGACATTAATTTTTAGCTGCTACGTTACCCCCTTTGAACTCTTCAGCGCTACCTCATTCTCTCGCTCGCTCACACACTCTGCCTCATGCAGTGAATGACCTCCGGTGTGAGAAGAGAGAGATGCAGATGTAGAAGTAAATGTAAATCTAGATGACAGATGTTGCGAAAAAATGTAAACTGATAAAATATTCTTTAGTCCGACTGCCTGAGCGACGGGTATAAAAGTAGAGTCGCGACAGCTGCAGCGATTCAAAACGTTCCCTCTTGTTACTTTTTGCATTGCGCGGTCTAAACTCTCTTTTATCATAACTTTTCTTAACAAATTTCTACCATGGTAAACAAGTCCAAGGGCGTAATTGGGCTTATAAAGAGGTGGTCAAAGGCATTTTATGACCCCTATATAACGAAGACTCTATATCTCGCTAATTCCTCTGATTTTAAAACCGATCCTTTCCCTCAATGCAAAGTACATCGAGCCGTATGTAACACTACTCGACCAAAAATAAAAAGACCCAGGATATATTTTGAAATATGTGTTTAATATTTCCCAAAAGTTGAAATTTGTTTTGTTTGGGTTTTGTTTATAGCTGAATTGCATAGCTTGCATAGCGATACCTCTGAAAAAAGTCGGCAGGTCAGTGCAGGCGCAAATCTGGACAGCGGGGATGGCACGACGGATGAGGGGCAGCTGCGGGGATAGGACCACCCACCAGCCCCCAGGGTGGTGGCGACTCCCCCCATATCCTTAGATCCGTCAGCCACGTCTCGGGTTTGTATAAATGGATGCCTGTGAAGACCCATCCATGCTCCTCCAAGGTGTAGTTGGTGGCGAACTTTAAACTAAATTCCTACACCCCTCCCAAAGAAAATAAAAATGGTTATGTATCACTTACCTCGACAACATACAAGCAGCGAAATTCGAACGTCGCCCATGCTGTCAATATGAAAGAAACATATCAAACAATGAACAAATTGTTTGAAAACATAAAATATAAAGAACACCAGTGGAAGGTGGCGTGTGACTTAAAACTCGTAACCATGCTAACGGGATTGCAATTTGGTTATACAAAATATTGCTGCTTCTGTGCCTAGGGGATAGTAGAGCTAGAACTGAGCATTACTCAAGAAAACTCCAGCCACAACGGGAGGAAAATACTTTGGAAAATTACAACATACAAAATGCTGCTCTCGAGAAGTTTTCAGATGTAATTTGAACATTGCACATTAAGCTAGGACTAATGAACTTTTTTGTGAGATACCTAAGAACTGTTTTCCCACGTCTATCGCTGGGAAAAGTGAAAGAAGGAGTATTTGATGGTCCCCAAATGAAAAAACTGCTTAAAGGTGAAATATTTCTAAATATTTTATCTAGGAATGAAAAAGCAGCCTGGAACTTATTCCGACTCGTACAACCAACATTCTTGGTAAAACCAAATCTGATTATTATATTAATATCGTCCAAGAATCAATTAGTAATTATGAAAAAATCGGGGCAAATATGTCACTAAAAATTTCATTTTCTGCACTCTCAATTAGACTTTTTTCCGCCAAACCTAGGGGACGTCAGTGATGAACACGAAGAAAGATTTCACCAACAATTAAAATCTATGGAACGACGGTATCAAGGTGTTTGGAATCAGAACATGTTGGGCGACTATGTGTGGAATCTCATAATAGAATCTGATTCGAATGACAAAGGAAGACAGCCAGATCACTTAAATTATTTTAAAAATAGTAACAAGCAATAGCAAAAAAAATGTATCCTTAATTTTTATGAACTTGCATAAAACGGAATAAAAAACATTACGATTGTTTTGTGGGTTAGGGAATGAATTCCTATATCTCAGGTATTTCTACTTTGGTTTTATTGAAATATGATTAGGTAGACGCGACAAGATCTAATTTGTAGGGTATATATATATAAAAATATAATATAATATATTAGCGGCAGCAATTAGCTTTTCAGAATGGCAAAGTTCATTACAACCAAATGTAAGATACATAAGTTATGTTAAAAAATAAGCGCTACCTCTGAAAAAAGTTTTAAAAAAATAATAGTTTTGAAAACTTCTTAAAAAAAAAGATCACTAAGCATGTTTACAGCCCTAAATCTATATAAAAAAAGTTGGTTTGTTTCGAAGCGACGAAATGGTGTCGGGTATCCAACAATCCAATCCAACAAAAGCGTTTTACTTTTTTGTTTACTCTTTGCGTGGTCTCAACTAGGATGAAAGAGTGAGATTGCGATCGATAAGATTGATCCCAATAAACCCAAGTTTGTGTGGCTTGTATCCACAACTTGATCCAGGGGTGACTTGCTCAGCCGCTATACTTCACTATTCCTATCAGATCCGCTAGAAACTATATACTATTTTTCCTTCCGCTTTGTAGATCGAATTACTCCTTGCCTGAGACTAATTACTTTTAATATACTTATACTAACCACCCAAGAACGTAATTAGCATCAATATCTGTAGTTTATATTTATAGCTGTTTAATTGAGTTCGGGCCATATTTTCCTTGGTCTAATATCTATATTTTCTTCGTCTCCAGCTCCACTTGAGCCTACCATTACATCTTCCAGCTCTGTCTTTTATCATAGTCTCGCCAGTCCGAACCTGGAACCCCGAACGAGCGCTTCGTGTAGGTTCAACCCCAAAATGACTCCCACTTTAACCACTTTAACCGGCAGCCAAGAGTTTACTCATCTCGCTCCCCAAAATAAAGGTGTAAATGTCAGACATTTAATCAATTCGTTACAAAAATCCACAGATTCACACAATCATTAATTAGAGGCGCCTCGGACCCGTCTGTCTCAGAACGCGATAGGTTATGGACTAAGAAAAAACTGCTTAGGAGTGGACACTGTAGGTGCTGACCCTGCCGTTGTCATCCACAGAAGCGGTGGCCGCGTTGTAGCCAATCTGCTTTCCATTAATGTTTTGGTTCTCACTCTCGCCAGTGGCCAGGTCCTTGTAGTTCTTCACGTGACCGTCCGAGTCGAACTGTGGAGACGGAACCTCGTTGAATAGAAATATGTTTAATCTCCTGTCGACCACTACTCACCTCAGATTGGGAGGACCATTTGGACTGCTTCTCCCATTGCTTTGACTGGTAGCCACCGGCACCGGCACCGCCAGCCCCAAAGTTACCAGCACCCGATGCTTGCTGCTGTTGCTGCCCGCTGGCAAGACCACCGGAGACACCAAAGTTGCTCTGACCACCGAGAAGGGAGCCCTGACTGCCGCCCAGCAGAGAACCGCTCAGAAGGGATCCGCTCAGAAGGGAGCCGCTGCTTCCGGCATTCAAGGCGCTGGCGGAGTTCAAGGAGCTGGCAGAGTTCAAGGAACTGGCAGAGTTCAAGGAGCTGGCAGAGTTAAAACCAAAGCCGGAATTGAATGCAGTGTTGGAGCCGAATCCAGCGTTCGAGCCGAATCCAGCGTTCGAGCCGTAACCGCTGCCCGTCTGCGTCTGCGCGACTTGGTTGGCATTGGTCAGGCCACTGTTGAAGCCCCCGGCCGTGGACAGTCCGGAGCCACTGCTCACCGAGCTGGATGCTGCCTGCTGTCTGGCGGTCTGGTGTGCCTGGTTGATTAGCTGTTGCAGCTGCGAGTTGCTGGCTTGGTGGACGTTCAGGCCTGCCGATTGACCGAAGGAGCTGCCAAAGTTTGAGTTGAAGGCTGTGTTGGAGCCAAAGTTCGAGCCATAGGATAGGCGGCTGGAGGGCTGCTGCTGCACCTGAATCTGGGGAGCCGATGCGGTGGTGGTGACCTTGCGCTGGTAGAAGTGCTGGGTGCTGGTTGGCGTCTGGACGATCTGCACTGGGGCCTGCTGCTCGACAATGCGCTCCACATGCTGCACAAACTTCTCGCTGCCGCCGGAGGGTGCGGTGTAGACAAACTGCCTGGGGGCCGACACAATCTGCTCGTTGCGAACGTACTCGTAGTTAGCGCCGTTCCTTACGGGAGCGGCCTGGACCGTCTGGACCGTCTGCTGACCTCCATTGACAAGCTGGGCCGCCGAGTTCAAAGTGTTGGAGGCGCCAAAGTTGACCTCGGCGCCGGCATTCGAATTGTCGGCAAACTCCACATTGCTGCCCACGTTCTGGGCGGAAGAGGCTCCAAAGTTGGACGAGTGGCTGGTCTTGAAGGCGGCGTTGCTGGCAAACGAAGAGCCAAACTGCTGCGCGCTCTGGGCGCCAAACGAAGCAGCATTCTGCGCACCAAAACCTGCAGAAGTGCTGCCTGCAAAGTTGGCACCAGAGTCGAGACCAAAGTTAGAGCCAGCTCCAAAAGTCTCACTGGCACTGCCCTGGCCGGAGGCGCCTTCAGCGGTATCTACGGCGCCCACGGAATCGTAGGAGCTTTCCAGGTTGCCCAGACTGCCGCCCGCCAAAGAGGCATCTCCTCCGATGCCTGCCCCAAAACTGGCCGATCCGCTGGATCCATAGCCCGCATTCTTGCGGGCGGTCTCGATGGCTTGCTGGTAGGCAGAATAGTGGCTAGGGAGTTGGAGCAAAGGTTAAAGAAGATCAGTCAGAAGAGGGCCAAGGGAGCTCAGATTGGGATGCATCTTATGCCGAATGATTTGAATTTTGCAGTATGGAGGGAGTACCAGTACCATGTTGCGTGCCAATGGGGAAAATTGCAATTGAGCCGAGCGAAACAAAAGCGTATTTTTCATCAACATTGCTACACGGCACTTACCGACTGTGGAAGTCTTCTCGCTTGAACCTACCCACACGTCATCATTGCAGAATAAAAGAGAGATCGTAAGTCGAAGCTCGCCAAAAATAACCCCCCAACTTACCTTCCCTGGAAATCTGTAAAGATCGAGACAGAAAACCTCATTAGTTTTTTGTTTTTGAAAGCATGATGTAAAAATCTCTTATCGCCACGTGTGTCCGCACCCCTCACTCCTCAGCATTACACAAGTCGGAAGGGTGTTGTGTAAATTCTCGTAGTTCATTGAGGGAAAATACGCGATGACGACACTTGGGATCGAGCAGAGGCAGAGGCAGAGCTCAGGGAAGGCAATCTACATCCACAGGATCAGAATATCACTTTTGCCCATACTTTAATGAGGATATTCACACATCTCTACCTGCAGAAGCCACACCCAGGCACAGTGCCAATATAAGCAGCTTGTTCATGTTGGGGGAATTGGATTTAGTGCGGGAAACGTTCGATGCTCGCGCTTGAAGTTGTACTAATGAATCGAGCGAGTGGAATCGCGCTTTAAAGCCCAGACGGCGATCGGCGATAAGCGATCCATATACCAACTCAGACTTGAACCGATTGATTCTTGACCTAGAGAGGATGCCACTCTGGGCCGCGGCACTGATAATGTGTACTATATACCTCCAAATGGAGCTCGCAATTGGTGCAGAAAGCTGAATGATGAAAGTTAATTGCGACATCATCTCCCTGTATAGATGCTTCACTTTACATATTTGTTGTTTGGGTTGCTTTCGCAGTACCATGGTCAGCCTCCTACATAGTACATACATATGTACATATGTATTAGTTGCCATGTATGATTGTGGGTCGGAGAGGATCATTGATTGTCTATATGCTTGCATACGTGTATAAGTATAGAACATACATAAGTACATTGTACACACATGTGTGTGGAAGATGATTGCAATTAGCTGAGCTTGAACTTAGAAAATTGAGAGTAAGGTGAGGAAACATATAAACAACCTTGAAAATACATTGAGGAAGTACAAATTGCGCTCCCAGCGAATTAGATTGTGGCTTTAGTTATTGTTTTGTAAACAAACTTGGATACAGTTCTATAACTTCCGGTAGGGGTTCGATGAGATAACGATCAATTCAATCAGATTGGACCCCGCTGCCCGCCGAAAGTGCTATTCAAATGCTCAGATGTTTGTGTGGCACTGATGCGAGCATCTCCGATCCCTCCGATCTCCGACTATATGCAAATACTCTCGATCAGCATGAAAAACCGGGTTGATGATTTGTGTTTCCTTTTTTGGTTGAACAGGGAAAACGAATTCCCAACACAGATTGTTTGATATGAAAGCTGAGAGTTCCAAAAAAACCAATGACGGGACCGCGATTCGATGCATGCATGGGCACAGGTTGTAAAATGTCTGTCAAATCTACCGAAGAAAATAAAAACCGCGAAAAGGACATTTAACAACCCAAGCAACTTCCCATAACTACAAAAATAAACATCTTTCGACAAAACTTAGACTTCAATGTCAAAACTCCTATAAAAAAGTGCGCACATTTTTTACCTTTATTCAAAAGCTCACCTGATTATGTCAACATTTTATATGGGTAAAAATGAAACTTTGAAATTCAATTTAAATAAAACATTTCCGACTGCCAAAGAGTTTCTGCACGTAAATTCTTGATTTGATTTTAGGAGCATAGGCCCTTATATCGAACATTTACCCAAGAGAATTTGGCATCTATCCCACTAATGTTCAACAAAGATTTTTACTTTTGGATGCCAACCGAATTGAATTTTTACGCCATTAACTAGATTTGTATTTGGAACAGCCCTTAGAAAGAAAACGGCAGAGAATTCTAAGGTCTCCTAATAAGCTTAGAGCTTCCGTTCGGCCAATCTTTTTGTAGGTTGTTTTATTTTTGCTCTTAATAAGCCCCCTCGGTATTAGATCATTTCCTGTCACCCCTGATAAGGTCCAAAAACAAACAAGAGAGTTTTGGTTGGTCATTTCGAATAAATAATACCTGTTCCACACACTTGCGTACACTTTTCTGAAATTTCTGCCCTGAATTTTCTGGCAGAGGATGTCTATGGTGTACACTAGCTCATACTGATGCCCAGATCGGGTCCCGGATTCCATTGACTGTCGCATTAACCAAAGCACCAAAACACCATTCTCGTATGTGTACCCTTAGACGAAATGAAAACCATGTACAATATAATCGCAGAAATACGAAGAACAATCTCAAATATTAATTTATGTATATAGCCACAAATGCGACGACTGGAATAGGTGTAAATCATTGTACATAAGACTCTTTCCAGCCGCACAATTAAAATCAAGGTCATCGGCAAATTTGCATTTATTTAAACAAATTTTATTGCTATGTACTATGGGTGTGTGTGTGTGGTGTGCTGTGCCGTGCCGTGGTGTGCCTGTAGAAAGAGAGGGAAAAACTTTCTAATAAAAGAAAGCTCCATATTGTGAACCCCACAGATAAGAAAGTCCGCGAATATACTCGTATTTATAATAAAATACACACACATAATATATATATTTTCTGTCATATAAATAAAACGAAAAGGCCGTTGGTTAGCTTTTGTTAGAGTGGATTACAGAAAAGCCTAGCAGCCATATCGATCGCTTTCGATCCAGTCCCTCTAGGAGTGCGTTGAGTACGAGGTGACTTTACCGTTGTCATTGACGGTGGTCTGGGCGCCACGACGGCTGGTTCCATCGCCATTGCTGTGGCTGTAGGAGGAGACGGAGACACCTTTGTAGCCGCCTCCACCGCCGCCCCCACCCGAGGATGATCCGCCACCGAACCGATTCACAATGTTGGGCGAAGCCTGTAGAAGAAGGAGTATTATCGTCGGTAGAGGGCTAGGAAAGGCAACTCCTCAGGATGGTCCACTCACCGGATTAGCGGGGCTGATGTAGGCCGTCTGCCGGTAGCCATTGGGTCCAATGGAGCCCGAGGCGGCGGCATAGCTGGGGGCATAGCGATGCGAGTTGTAGGAGCCACTGGAGGATCCCGATCCCGATCCAGAACCCGAGCCCGAGACCGAGCCCGATCCTCCCCTGTACCGGTTCTGACGCACCAGATTGTCGTGGTAGGCCTGCTGTGCGGCAATCTGCTGCTGGATGCGACTGAAAAGTGCAGATGGCTGGATTAGTATTCCGCTAAACTGTCACCGGATAAATGGGGCTCCGGATTAGGTGTTAGGTGGGTTAGGAGTTAGCTAGAAGTAATTACGTGTCGTCGTCGTCGACTAGAGAGGCATCCGCAGATGCAAAAGCATTGCCAGCCGTGGCCAGACCCGTTATAGCTCTACAAGAATAGATGAACATGAACAAGCGGTTAGGTTAACCCTCATCCCTAGCCCTCACTACAGACTACCCCCTCGCCCGAGACGGGATTGTCAGTGCTCACTGTTGGTTCGCGTAGTTCTGGGCCAGGATGTGGTTCGTCAGCTGCTGGTGGAACAGGTACGGGTCGATGATGCCAAAGTTCGGCGAGTTGCCGTCATAATCATCGTAGTCGTAGTAGCCTCCACCACCACCGCCGCCGGTTCCCACATAGCTGCTGTGGCCCACGCCTCCTCCGCCGCTGTTGTATGTGCCCGTGTAGCCACCAGCTCCTCCTCCGCTGCTGGCATAGCCTCCGGCATAGCCGCCGGTATATCCGCGACGTCTTCTCGGCTGCTGGCCAGCTACGGGAATGGAAGACGAGAAATGTTCGTTGTATGCCTGGCTGAGACTGTACTTTCCAGACTGTACTTACCCGCCGAAGATTCCCCGTTGAGGGCACTCATCACCACACAAATCAGCAGATACTTCCACATTCTATTGGGCTCGCATTGGCGCACGGAAATTCAGTTGGGTGTCTGGGGGTCTGAGCTGCTGGGCTGCTGAGCTGAAGGAAGAGTCACAAGAGTCGAGTCGTGAAAAACTGGTTCAACAATTAGTGTAAAAGGAACCGGTTAACACTCGGAGATGCATATTTATAATGTGTGTGCTGTGTGGATTCTGCGTGTGTAAAATTCAAATGTGGCATTGATCCAAGCGGAAGAAGCTTGGATGTGAGCGGAGAAGCACATCTGGGAATGGCTGGGAATGACTGGGAAACGCTCATTGTTTTTCGATACTTTCTCACCCATTATCATTAGCAGCCCTCAAGGCGGATTCTATAAATCAGCTTGCATAAGTGCGATGGATTCTCATTCCCTCCCCCCACAGAGGGCATTGGCTTCAAAGTAAATCCCCGGCCCACTCAACCGGAGTCAGGCCCAGCCACGATACGATGCCTATTCGCAACCAATAATTAACAATTACCATCATTCCATAAATTGTGCAGCAGCACCAGCCAAAGCCCCTTTAATTGCCCTTACACGATTTTCCAATAATGAAATTGCAAAAATCACAGCCAAACTGTGCCTGGGAACGGCGAACGGAGACGCTCCACCAAATTGAAAACGGAAATCCCCAAAATGTAAATTAATGGATCTCCATATGACTATGTATATTATTGACTCAATTTGTTAGTCCGGCCGTCGAGAGAGGACCGAACCGGTTCTCAATATATTTTGTTCAACGTTTGGATTTTTATACTGAATGTATTTCTCGTTAATGGTGTTCGGGGCGTTAGGCAGAAAGAAGTCTTTCTTTTCTTTATTATTCTTTGTTCGCCATTTATATTCCAATTTGTTTATATTTTTATTTGTTTTTTTTTGCCCCCGAAGATCTTCAAGATCTGTCGTGAGAGCGGGGATTTCTTTCGTGCTACTTGAAGTGCTCTGTTCTAATTGAATGACTTAGTCCAAAAGCCACAACCGGTCTGGCCAGAGATGATTTATAATTTGGGTTTTCTAATTTCAATTTTTGGACATTCAGTGGCGCATTTAAACTGTAATTAACAACTTTTTGCACAGTCGCACAGTCGAAAACAAAGGAACGGCACTCAGTCGCGGTAGAGTCGCACTTTGGAAGAACACGACACGTTCTGTTCCGTTCTGTTCTGTTTTGTTCTGTTTTGTTCTGTTTGGCCTTTACAATGCCATGACATTGATGCTCAGTGAACTGTTTTGATTGGAACACTTGTAGAGCATCATTTGAATCAGATTGCTGATAAAGCCCCTCCCCATCGATCGAACGGCTCGTTCCCTCCCCGGCCATCCATGCGGCACCAAAAAACACTCTATGAGTACCAGACCGCACCACACCACACCACACCACACCACACCACACCACATACAAACTGAATCAACACTGTCCAAATACAAAACAAAAACTGCGCCACAAATTGGCAAAGCCAACAATATTATACGAGTATTTCTATACTGTAGAGATCGCTGGGAGAGACAGCTCGACAGCTGTCCAATTCGGGGAGCGTTACTTCCATAGAGTTTATTCTCAGTCCCGTCCCGAAACTACGAGCTACGAGCAGCGACACAACCAACGATTCGCCTCGACTCACTTAATGATGTGTCTATGGTTCGGTTCTTGACCAGTTTTTGTCGGGTTCAGTTTTAATTTCGGTGGCAGATTCTCTCTGCTGCTCTCGTCTCGCGCTTCTTCACTGTGCCGCAACTGGGGAACGTCTGAGCCGGATCGGAGACCAGGCAGGTCCTCTTATAACCGGGCCGACACCTGTGGGCTGGGTGGTGGTGATGACGACGACGATGACACTGTCGTTCGGTTTCTCGTTCGCTCGAGAGAATCAATGTGAGAGGGCACTTCACTCCGATGGCTCACTAATTATAATATACAAAAAAAAAATAGTTTCGTCTGTGTTGCTTCTTCTTGTGATCGAAAGGGTTACGTTCGGGCAAAAGCTTTTAGCATTTTATCATTTAATATGCCTTTGTATATTGGCCAGTAGCTCCGCGAAAAAATTGGCTATCCTTTAAGAGCAGATCACTCTGTATACAGACATTTTTTGGGTTCCCTGCAACTTTGAATTTATTCCTCGTATGTTGTATGTATGTACCTCTAAATGGAGGTTTCAGTTTATATTTTATGCATCATCGATGAGCACAAATAATGGATGATGCGCGGTACACCCAGCACAGGCTGCTCTGTTCCCCAATTCTGCCATGAGCCAATCATTTATCATTTAATGTTTATTTAGCGTGTTGCATCGTAGGCTAGTAACAGATTTGATCTTAAAATACTTGAATGTACGGCATGGGGATGCGGGGTGGAAAGGGTCGATGCGAATCCAAAGTGCCACAATACTCGTACCTGACAATAACAATAACTACTACTATGTACTTGGGTTACTCTAGGATGGGGATTGGGATTGGGAACACCACCGAGCCCAGCAACAGACCAGCAGGCACTTGTCTTCACCTCCATCAGCTCAATCCTTCAGAGCTTGGACTTCTCCTGGGGCTGGGGTATGATGACGTCGCGCCACCAAGGTGAGCGCTGGAAGGCGCCCTCGTTGGTCATAAATTCGTTTTGCAGATTCTCGTACAGCAGGCCATCGGCTCGGGCAATCACAGAGTTGAGGGCAAAGTCGGGTGGGGCAATGGCATCGGCTACGCTCACGGCCACGTCCTTCAGCTGCAGGCAGCTATCCAGCAGGAGCCTGCGCACGGCCGCGGCAAAATCCTTTCCTCCGGCAAATCCGCCCACATAGAAGGTGGTCATGTGCTTCTCCAGCAGCCACATGGCGTACACGTCGAAGAGCAGGCGCAACACCTTGCAGTACGCAGGATCCACCTTCAGCCGACGCACGTGCTCCGCGTAGCGGGTCAGGGCGAAGTACTCGGCATAGGCCAGGGAGAGCTCGCGGGCTCCGGCCACCTGGGAGTTGTTCCGGGCGTCAAACTTGTTCCCTCCAGCCGCCAGCTCAGCCTCGATGTGGGCCGTGGTGTGGGCCATCAGGTGGCACAGCAGCCACTCGTAGCACCTGAGCGAGACTGCAAGCAAACGAAGGATTAGTCAGCGCACCCAACTAGCCGATCTTCCACTCACACTCCCAGCTGGAAAGGGGACTCTGGGCCACCAGTTGAGCGTAGCTGAGGCCCATAAGCTGCTCCCGTCGCTCCAGGAACCGTACGCTGCCAATGGGGGTCTCCAGCTCCTTGGCCGTCCACTGCCGGAGCAGCCAGTTGGATGCCTGCTGGCCCAGCACGTTGTTGTCGCCCTCGTAGGTGCACAGGGGATCGTGATCGGTCCGCATCTGACCCAACTTTGCAGCCGCCAGGTAGCCGTGCCCGCCGCACGCCTCGCGCGCCTCCTGAATTGCATCCCGGGCTGCCCAAGTTATGCGCGGCTTGGATGCCGAGATCAGGGCATGAATCTCCGCTGCCTTCTGGGTCTGCAAAACAAAAACAGAGTTAACAAACCGGCCTAACGGATACTGAGAGGGATGCGGGGGGTGGGTAGCTCACCAGTATATCGAAGCCATTGGAATCCGCCTGGGAGCGGGCTATGATCTCCAGATATGTAATGGTCAGCTCCTCGACGGCGATCTTCTGCACACAGGCGGCAGCCAGGTACGGGAATATGCGGTATTGCTGTGGGTCAGAGAGGGGGAGGGTGGGGGATCAAAACATGAAACACACACTTCCGAGAGCATTTCCAGTGCCCCACTCACGTGCAGCTGGTACTCCAGAATGGCCATCTCTGCGCCCTGACGCTCCGGGCCGAACTGCTTGCGGACCGCAGCATAGCGGACGGCGATCACAGCGGCACTGCAAAGGGTGTTGGCCGACTCCTGCATGATGCCGATGCGGCCGGCGGAGAAGCTCTCGAGAGCCGCCCCAAGACTCTGCGAAGGCTCTGCGAAGACGCTCTCGTAGACGCCCTCGGGCGTGACGTCGCCAGTGCGGTTGAGAAGGTTGTCGCGTGGAATGCGGTAGTTGCTGAACACCACGAAGCCGTTGTCGATGCCGTTCAGGCCGCACTTCTCGCCGATGTCGCCCACCAGGACGCCCGGGTAGGAGAGGAGTGTCTTGGGATCGCGCACGGGGATGAGGAAGCCGTGCAGGCCGTGGTTCTGCCCATCGGCAGTGTACAGGTTGGCGAAGGTCATGGCCACCGTGGCAGTCTTTCCCAGGTTCCCCACCCAACACTTGGCCGCCTCGAAGTCCGGCGTGTTGATCACAAACTCCTCGGAGCTCGGATCGTATGTGGCCGTGGTGCGGATGCTCTTCGTGTTGCTGCCGTGCGAGAGCTCTGTGACGGCCAGGCAGGTGATTACCTCGCGGTTCCAGGCAGCCTCAATGTACTTGGTGTGCTTCTCTGTGCCCATGGCCCGGATGGCGTTGTTGAACAGGCCCACACCAAGGGCGATCTTCACGGAGAGGCTGGGGGAGTAGCTGGCCAGGGCCTCGTTTATGTACATCAGGTACTTGGTCTTTGCGGAGAAGCTCAGGCTCTCGATCTCTCTGGGCACCAGGTCCAGCTGCTTCATGCGGTTCACCTGCATGGCGCACAGACGCTTCTGCTCGTCAATGGGCAGCGTGCGGGAGGCATGGGCGAAGAGGGGATCGCTCTCCAAGCGGCGCCACACCTTGTACTGCATTCCAGGAGAAAAAAGATTGGCATTAGTCAGGGGTTCGCGCTGGGCGGAATCGTCGCTGGCACTCACCTTGATGCGCAGTCCCTGCTCCTTCTCGAAGATCAGACGCAGTCGCTTCCAGTCAAAGTTTGCCCGCTTGCGGTAGACCGAGAGAGGTCCGCCCGTTGGCAGATCGGGAATGAAGCTGGTGTCCTCGCTGGCCATTCTGTGATTCTGTGATTCTGTGATTCTGTGATTTGGTTGCTTTGCTGGAAGAAAGCGAAATCGGTCAGAGTTGAGTTGAACTGTCGACAGCTGCGCGTCCACCGACCAAGTGCGTCCTCACCGGCCCCACGAGTGGCTTTAATTACCCAACGCCGCTAGACATCTAACTATCTATCGACGAAACGGTACCACCCCACCCAGCCCCGCCCGCAAGTGGAAGCACTCCACTCGAGCATTATCTGCAAGCGTGCAGTGGTACGAAGCCGTAGTAAGGCCCAACCTCAAGAGCAGTGTCTCCCCAGTGTTGCAACTGATTTCCGTTGCAGAAATTGGAACGTGAATTGTCTCGGCATTACGCTGGCTATAATATGCGAAATATATCATACTCTTGCGATACGATGTTTGGCTACTGCTATGTTAACATCACAAAAAAGAGATAAATGAGCAAGGCTGGAAAATAAAATTTAAACTGTTTCGTTTATGAATTAATAAATGCGGCAGAACATATGACTCTAAAAATAGTACTCGATATTATTTGAAATGGAGGTTGGGCGCGAACAGATGCGCTTTTGAGTTGCCGCCAGCGCCAACTACTGGGCGGTTGCCTAATCGGTTATCGGTTTCATGGCAGCCAGCTCTTGTCAGATATCTATAATATCTTCGATAGTTTTGTTTGAGTGTTGGCACTAACCATACAGTATATAGATGTGCCAATTCAAGCGATATATCGTTTCCAGGTGGCGTAAATGTGTGTGAGTCATGTATTCACACATACTGTGCTTGTGTGTGGGCTCTACAATTTTTGGCCGCTTGAATTGGTTTTTCGTTTTGTTTTGATCAAACAACAACAATAAATAAAAGAAATTTAATATTTTACCCATGCCTTTTTCCTCAAAATATCAAAATTTTTCAAGGGAAATTTATCGCTTATTAAGGCCTTACTTTTTAAGGGAAATTCATCGCTTATTAAGGCCTGACTTTCGGCTAATTCTCGCTTACTATGTCATCGATTATGCTCCTAGGACATCCCTGTGTTAAAGTAAACAGCCCATCGTATGGCAGGTCATCGCTTATGTCATCGAGCTGCATGACGTTGCCATCGATGTGTGGTTGCTTACACATCGCTTACCCGTACTGCAGGATACTCAAAACAAACTCAAAACGGTTTCGGAAAATAAGAATTCATAAATATTTTGTCGTGTCTGTGTGCACACATACACTTGCAATTCTCGGCTTGCTTTCGCACCTCGTCATGAATCGAACATGTCGAAAAAATGCCGAACGTCTCAGGCCCACGACCCGAACGTCTCAGCACCACAGCCGAATGGTCCCAGCACCCTAGCCGAAGACCTGGGGGTGCTGGGACAGAAAACTCAGCTGCGCCCCTTTCGTTGTGTGAACTGGCACATCTACATACATATATACTGTATGGTTAGTGGTGTTGGATAGCAGCTGATTCAGATTCGTTGCATATTTTTGGGTGTAAATGTAAAATTTCCGTACAAAAGTAGGCGCGAGATTCAAATGTGTTGAGTGCTGACAACGCAGCATGGGAGCGGATTTAATTGCAACGCGGATAAACGCATAGATATTATGAAACTATAAATATTAATACCTAAATAAAAGCCAAAGGAAAACACCAACAAATCCAAAATTTATTAAACATTTTTGTAGCCCCAAATCTATGAAAAATGTTTTTTTGTCGGATGTTGGATAGTGCTGTTGTACCTCTCTCCACACAGTAATCTGTTTGCCTGCTATAAATCAATCAAAGTACAGAGCAGGGCTTCAAAAGAAACACCCTGTCGAACGATTTTGTTGTATGTACACAGCTAGAGGATCATCATCATGGCGCAACGACACAAGGAAATGATGCGCCTTTCCCGGCAAATAAAATCAAAATTTCCACATCGCGCCTTCCGCGATGTCACCTTCGACCGGAAGGTCATTCGCAAGAGCATCGCTCCACTGACTCTCGAAGAGGCGCGCCGCGTGAAGGGTCCGGTCTACGAGGCGCTCGAGGACGAGCTGCGCTGCGCCGGGTGCCGTATGCTGCCGGAGTTTCTGCGCTGCCTGGCCAGCAAGGAGCAGAGCCTCTACGACAGCCTCAACATCCGGGAGCGAATCACGGACGACCGCCCGCTGCTCTACGCAGTGATTGAAAATCTGAAGCAAGCCGAGCTGGCAGTGCTCCGGCACAAGCTGAAGGGCCTCAAGGAGTGCTTCTCGCTGTTCTACCACACGATGGTGCTGCTGGAGCCCTACCGCCAGAAGTACAGCTACGCCCTGACTGCGGTGCTGGAGCACATTGTGGGGCTGTGCCACAACATTGATGGCCAGGAGCGGGACGCCGCCGAAATGATCGCCCGCATTTACTACACCTATGCCATGTACCTGGTGCGCCTCGGCCAGCGCTCCTCCGCGATCAGCTACTTCCAGATCGCCATGAATCTGGTGCGGGGTCACGTGTGGACCGCCCAGGTGGACATGCGCGCCGGAAGCCAGACGCTCCACGAATTGGTGGCCCAGGACCTGGCCCGCCAGCTCCTCATCCACGGCAAGCAGATTGTACGCCAGCAGCCGCAGGAGGCGATAGCCATAGCCCGCAAGGCCACAGTCCTAATTGCGGAAAGTAAGTAAGTCCGTGATTATCCCCTACCATACCCCATCCCCATCCCAATCCCCTTTAGTTGGCAGAGAGAAGAACCTGGACATCTTCTGTGACACCTTCCTCGAGCGGGCCTACTTTCTGATGGAGAGCGGCAACTACAACGCCGCCCAGCAGTGCCTGGAGCAGATCAGACCCCAGATCATAGCCTGCACAGACTACAAGTTCGTCAAGCTGAACATCAAGTACTACCTCTTCCACGGACAGTGCGCCGAGATGTGAGTAGAGCACTCCCAAGTGGGGGATCCCATTGGATCCCATCCCCTATGATGATTTTTCCTCCTATGCAGATTTGAGAACCCGGACAAGGCCATATCCAGCTACAAGAAAGCTCTCCGCCTATCGCGCCTGTACTCACACAAGGACACGGAGGCTGAGATTCTGCTCCACCTGGGCAAAATATTCGCCAAGGACACGCAGAAGACGAGCATTGCCAAAAAGTGCTACGAGCAGGCCAAGCGCATCTACGTCGACTTCGACGACGTCCACAGCCTGAAGACGGCTAACTACCTTCTGGCCAAGCTGATGGCCGACGAGATCACGCCCCTCTATATGGCCATGCTGAAGTCGTCCACGACGCAGTACTGCGCCTTCTTCAACCTGCGCCAGTGGAAGAACCGCTGCCGCCCCTTCTGGAAGAAGCTCGGGGACGAGATCATCAAGCAGGAATCCGACGACATATACTGCCTGCTCGACGAGGAAAAGGAGGATCCTGCCAGCGACAGCGGCTTCACCGACATGGACCAAAAGGTCTTCAAGGTGGAGGAGGGCGACTTGTGAGGTGCCCTGCCTCCCACTACTCCCTTAGACTACTCTGACATGACATGAAAATTATATTTGTTACTGTTTTTTCCACATCGTAGTGATTAAAGTCTTTCGGCAATCATTCCCGGGGCAGGTGTTCCCACGACCAGAGCAGATGGCTAGCCAGTGAATGTGGTTGGGGTTTCACACTGAAATTCCTGGAAGTGGGGTCGTAAACGGTGAATGTATCGAAGCTAATCAGACGATGATTGAATCCGGAAATTACCCATATGTATTTTCCCTCACTGAAATAAGAAGAGACAGCGGACTCTGCCCTTTAAGTACGTTTAGGTACCGATCATGCATCTGCGTGATTGCTCGGATAATGCACAAATTATAATTGAGTCGACTTAGACCTTTGGATCAGTCAGTCCGCCAGTGGGTGGCAAACTTCTGGCAAAAACTAGAATGCTCTGTTTAAGGGTACAAGCATTGAGGGTCAAGGCCAGATAAGATTTGCATTGCTGATACCTGATACTCGTGCAGGTGGCAAACATGAAAGAGGGGAAAATCGATAGAGAGATAGAAACTACTGAACCAAACTATAGCATATCTCTAATTTGATTAGATGGGGCTCTGAACGGGTACGGGGACTGGTGGATTGGTCACGCCGGAATCTCAGCGCTAACAATCGTGAAGTCAAGTGAGTTTTTAAAGTAGGACTTTGATTTGGCTATTTTCAGATAAGGGACTGCCAGAAACGGAGTAAACAGTTTGATAGGGCGCATGGCATGAGATTAGTTCTCCAAAGAAGTGTGCAAAAATAGAGCTATGATCACAATGTTTTCGAGGCAATCTCACTCTTATTTACTTTCGCAACGTGCTTGCTAAATCGGAAAATGGTAATAAAGATATGTATGTATGTCAGGTATACCTGAACTTACGCACAGAGCATTGGGTTGGGTTAACCTAGCGAAAGTCGCTCCTAAACATATGTAAAATCAGTTTTTCACAAGCAGTGTGGGTCACGTTGGAACAAGGCAACAAAACCAAATCGATTTAGCGACAATTAGCAATAATTATGACAATTATAATGTTATTAATTAGCAGATATGCCCCAATGGTGACTGGCACCCGCTCAAAGTACAACCATGGCCGTGATAACAACACATTGTCTAGGTTCGGGCCTCGAACGAAAAGACTGTGGATCAAGTAACCAACCAACCATCCACAAGTCGTTTGTTCATTATGGCTCATTAAATTTGAGCGACGAGGTTCGCAATCTCAGATATGTAGTCGAGAGCCCGGCAACTCACAATCTTGGGCATTGGTACATTGGAATCGAGTCGCTCGATTGTTTGCCTGCACCCGATGCGATGCGGAGTCATCATGGCGGAAACAATTCCCCATAAACTCAGTTGGATTTTGTAATTGAAGCCGAAATAGAACCAAGATAGGGGCGGGTGCGGGACTCAAGTGGGTACATCCGAGAGGCAAACAAATACAGCCATAAACAGAGACGAAAGCTCTCGAGCTGATCGAGCACAGCACAGTTGCAAAAATCTGCAGAGAGAGCCGAAAAAAACTGATAAGCTCCGGAAGGCGTTGGTTTGGGCAGCTCCAGCGACCAACCCCAGGCTGCTGGCTTGCGTGACACACTGGCATGGGGGCCAGGTGGTGATTGCATGTAAAACGAGAAGGAACGCTGTGAGTCGCTTCTATGGACGCGACTCTACTTTTATACCCGTACTCAGTCAGTATATCAATATGTAAGCCTATGATTTATTAGAATTTTAAAATAATTTATATTTTACATTCTTTTGCTACATCTCTCATCTACATCTACAATGTAGATTCTACATCGCGAAAGGGTGCGCACTGCGACAAAAAGAAAATAAGTAACGGCTTCAGCGCTTAGAGGATCGGGGTAAGAAACTAAAAATAATTTCTTCATTCTGGCCATAATAATGATCCAATCTGTACCAGATTCGGCAGTCTGATAGATATGGTCACATGTAGCAGTGTGATACATACATATATGTATATATATATACTTTATCGGGTCGGAAACATTTCTTCCTCTGCATTGCACACATTCACTTTTACAACAAATCTAATATGCCCCTTAACTCTTCGAGTACGGGTATAGTAATGAACAAAATATTGTACACCCCCTCGGACCCATTCCCACTGAACTACTTGAGAAGCGAAACTGTTGCGTGCCGCTGTCGTTGGACAGCAGCCCCTCCCCTCTTGATGGGGTGGCAGTGGGTGTGTTGGAGCGGGTGGCCATCAACCTTGAACATGAAAATAACTGAACATTTATTTTTACTCGCTCCCCCGATAATTGGTGGGCGGGACCCGAACCCGCACCGAACTCTGATGCCCCGTTAAACGAATTATAATGCAATTTGCCGTCCAACTGGCGACAATAACAGCTGCACTGCTAATTTCACTTCTATTTACACACCACACACACACACTGACAAATTAGCACACAATCATCACTCTCTCACACAGATACAGATACCGACAAGGCACAAAAATGGGTGGAGGGCCATCAATTGGGACCACAATACTCCCAATTGTCGCTGCTGCTCCCCATTGTCCATTGCTTAGCAACACTTCAGGGCTTGGCCAGGCCAGGCCCAGCCAGGCGTGAAGTGATATCATGATGACTACGACGACGACTTGTTTGGCTAAGGACTCGGATTAGAAGGGGCTCCTATTCCTATTCTTCCTCCTGTTACATCACTGCGAAAACAACAAGCAGGTAGGAAACGAAACGCCTTTGCAGCCGTGAGAGAGCGAGGGAGAGAGAGAGAGGCTGAGGAGAATATTCTCTATAATCGTACAGATGCGTATGTGGGCATGTGTTTATTCTTTTTAGGCCTGCGGAGTACAGACCACACCAACACAAGCACAAACACCACCACCAACCTGTAGCGCTTCTTCTTCTGCCGGAGTCACTTGATGCTGGCTGCCCGCTCTTTTTCGATGGAGTTTTCACTGCCCGGCACCAGCTGAGCTCACTACACACTGGCGACTAATTAAACAAACTATTTGTCGTCGAGTATGCACGTTCGTACGAGCACACAGCTCACGCCCACGCCCACGCGGAATTAAAAAAGGCACAAAAAATATAACTAGAAGGCGGCACACGACCGACGGATGACGAGCTGGAAACTGGCGACGCAACCGAACTGGACGATGGATTCTTTCCGAATGACTGCTGATTCATAACAAACGGGCGTGCTGGAAACCCTACAGAGCTACAGCGCACCTCACGCACACATGCTCGTGGGGAACCACGCTTCTTTCGGCCCCAATGTCAAGTGGCTGGTGCGAGAGCGAGTCGGCAGACAAACCGGCCGGCGTCGAGGCGCGTCAGTGTGTGTGAATTAACGTGCAAAGATACAGATACAAAGATACACAAACTACAGAGCCGAGCCGAACCGAACCGATTGGCAGAGCATTTAGGGGATTCATGAAACTGATTGTGGTTAAATTTAGATTTTCCTCGTGGGTTCAGAGGGGTGTTCCACACAGGGTTGCGTTTAACTGTTGTGCGCATATGCGATTATCAGATTGTCGCCACTGGGATAAAGTCTGTACAATATTTTTGCTTTTCTTTACCCGTACTCGAAGATTAAGGGGTATATTAGACTTGTGGTAAAAGTGGGTCTGTGCAACGGAGAGAAGGTAACGTTTCCGACCCCATTAAGTATATGTATGCTTCATCAGCATCAATAGTAGATGCTGTCTTGTTTGTCGCCTATTTCTCAGAGAGAGCTAGAACTACGAAATTTTGTATCCAGACTTCTTTGAAAGCCAACTGTTACAAGTATTTGTATTTGTATTTTGTAAATTGTAAATTTCGCCCCACAAAGAATGAAAATCTGTGGCATCCACAATTTTAAAAATACGAGAAATCGAAGAATCGCTGTATCGTAGAGAATTACCATATCTACCATACTGCCGAATCTGAATTAAATCGGATTGTTATAGCCAGAATAAAGAAATAAATTTTCAGTCCACCCGCACCCTTTTTACATAAAAAATCAAAATCTCACATACATATATTACTGACTGAGTACGGATGGACAAGTTGAGTCGCGGCAACAGAAGCGACTCACAACGTTCCTCCTCGCTATTTTAACATATGTAAATTAAATGTATACTTTTACAGTGTGTACAGACAGACTATTTTCATGACCATTTGTTGTCACCGGTTGCCTCCATTTAATTGGGATCGCCCACATCATCATAGCATCCATTCTCATCCTATAATATGGTACATATGTATATAATTTCACACATATATTGTACTAAACACAAGACTTCATTTCAAAGAAAAACATTCCTCTTGGAATTTATCTGAGTCTGTGACTAAACTCCGCTTGCAGAATATTAAAAGTTCGGCTACCCGAATATCTCAGTTGATCTGAGTACGAGGTTTATCACCATGTCATTTGCAAAATAAATGCAAATATGAATATGATGTCGGTTCGCTTATGGGAAATTTGTACAGAGCATTCGCACTGACAACACCCCGCTATTACAGAATTTTTACTTTAAAAAAATTTTATCTGCTAATGGGCAGAAATTGGGCTTAAACCTTTCACGTGTATTCGTAGGTTGAGTTTTTTGTACAAGTGTGGGAAAACCATTAGTTATTTCTTTTACCTTAAGAGCATGTGACATGAAAAAAAACAACTTATATATAGGCAGGCGAAAACGCAAGGTGACTGCAACGCAAACAAGTCTGCAGATATTAGCCACTAATCTCTTGAACGTTGAGACGACAGCACGCTGTCGCATGTACCGTCAGATAGTAGAATGTGTGCCCTCTTTTAAGATCAGTATTAAGATCAGTAGTAGCCGCTTGGCATAAGTCTAGAACACTTCTAAATAATTGTATTACCCTGCTCATCGAAGCAATTGATTGAAATAGCGCTAAGGCAATCCAAATCTAAATTGCCTAAAGCTTCACACTGTTCTCAGTTAAGAAAAAAAGCCTACAAAGACCCGAATTAGAGCTGTTTAGATCCAACAGTAAAGTAGCTGGCATATCCCAAAACTTTAGTGTGCAAATAAAGTAGTACGAGGTTTTCTTAGTTTTCTCATTTATTTATTATCATTTTGTGGTCATTCTGTGTGTTTGTTGAACGAGTAGAAATATCAAAGTGACCGACATAATTGATTGGGATTAGTGCCCGCTGATTGATTACGATTGCAGGGCGATTGCATCGAGTTTCAATCGTCCCTCCAGCTCGGTCTGCGTTAATTAAATTACTAATTTGACTCGGTTATACAAAGCACTTGTAGGTTGGTGTGTGGGCTGTGCATGGGTTGGTTCGGGTTTGGGGTCGTAAATCGTATAAAAAACAGTTTATGTGTGTATGTATATATCCATAGCTATTGTATAGTTTGGCAGCTGCGGTCCGACTGTGCGAATATCAACCGAATATCTTGTCGAAGCAGACGTGGCAGTAGGGCTTGTCCTTCTGCTCCTTGAACGTGCCCTTGTTCAGCTGCTTGAGGCAGAAGGCGCATACGAAGTGCTCTGGGTGGAACTTCTTGAACATGGCCGTGATGCAGCGTCCGGTGATGGGCTTCGAGCAGCCGGCGCACAGGGATCCCCTCTTGGCATGGTAGTGCGTCTCGCAGTATGGCAGTCCCTCGTGGTCAAAGAACGATCCGCCCTGGAAGGGTTGTCGACAGTCCTGCAAGAAAATGCCAGAAAAATTTGGTTAGGCTTCGGACAAACAGAAGCTGCGCCATCAAAACAAAACTACAATCTACTGGCACTTCGTGAGAGGATGAGCACATGATTATGGGGATTATGATGTATGATGGGGTTGGACGACGGAGGAGCCTTTTTGAATGATCTATTATGGGCCAAGTGGCGGTGCAGACGACGTAGGAGGCTAATTACGACTATAAATTAGTTGGCATATAGCATGACCGACCACCACGAGCAAGCCGGTCGAGCTGTATGTCCATATAATATTTTCTGCATGAATCTTTACGCCTGGCATGAAAAACCTAATTACAATTTATTCAGAAAAGAAAAGTGCCAAAGTAAAACACTCTCGAATGGACAGCACTCGTACCCTGCCTGATCCCTGGCCCTGGTATCCCTGGATCCACTGTGCACGGTGGATGGCTAATTGGAAACAAAATAAAGTGAACAGCACTAGAAAACAAGACAGCATGAAATTTAAATACATATGTTAAATATATGTACATAACCCATATACATACATAGTATGAGATCTCTGAGTCCGACATTTGTTTAATTTTCTTTGGCTTTTGGAAAAACATTTGAACAACAGCAACAGCAAAAACAACAACAGGAGTCTTAAGACAATAACATTTTGCGCACGCTTTTGGCCAACTTCCAAGGAAAAAATAGGAAGACTGAGAACAAAAGAACCCATTCTGATGCCGATTCCAAATCCGATTCAGTCGGATAGATGGGAGGACATTGGAGAGCGCTTCGGTAGCTATTTTCGTGTTCCACTGCTCTCTGCACAAATCAATCAAATTTCCATAAACAACAGGTGCAAGCGTTTCCTTTGAGGCATTTCATAAATGTGCTCTGTGGGTTATTTGAAAAGTGGGCCATAGAGCGAAACCAACAATCAACATCAAATATAAGCCAAAAATACACAAATATTCAGTTCATTTCGTTCATTCAATGGTGGATTTCTATAATATTCCTAACGATTGCAGTTCTGAATGGCTATTTTTGGAAAATATTTAAAACATCTTTTTGCACTCCAGCGCTCAAGAATTGACGAGTCCGTCCGTGTTTAGTTCTGGCCAATCAATTCGATTAACACCCCGAGATTCCCATTACTTATATCGGGGCCATAAACAGAGCGAATCGTTTCGCCTATACTTATAGTAGACAGGGATCGGGTGGGATCCGGCCGAGCGCCGAGTACTAGAAGCTAGAATGATACTGGTACGTAAGCAGCGAAAATAGTTTCCACAAGTAATTTATTCCCCTGGGCTTCCGCTGGGGAGATCGCTGACCAGACGATCCAAATCTACGAATGTACATGCATACATATACGGCATACAATATTGTAATTTGTTTAACAAGAGCAACAGAGCAACACAACAACAGAACAACAACTGAGGCGACAGGCAGACACATGTCAAGGTCAAAACAGGCTGACCCTGACCTTGGCACGAGGTCCGCCTGTCGTCTGTGTGGGAGGAGGAGCAGCAGGAGGAGGTGGGCGTCGTAGCATGCGCCTTGAAAAACAGAAAACGCTTTTCAACTCTCCCCTGCTCGCCCCTTTCCAACATTCTTTGCCGTTTTTTCTGTGCTTTTTGTATGTTTTAATATGTAATTATTTAAATTTTATTTACAAAAACAAATTACAATATTGTTGCTCATCTTCATAAATGATTAAATTTAAAATGTACCTAAAGACTTAAGCCTACCAAAATTTCATAGAAAAGTTCAACAAGTCAAGAGGGGGGAGGAGGCCAGGGTCAGGGGCAATCAGAGACCATCATAGAGGGTGACTACTGTATCCGTGTGTATACATTTATCCAGCGGCACCTGCTGTGGCAGCGGGCCAGCTTGGAGAGGCATACAGAAACAGATACAGTTATAGGGGACAGGTCAGGGGCTTGTTGGTTGCTGCTGCCTCGTTGAATGTTGGATGTTGCCAATGCTGTGGTGCTGTGGGGCTGTGGTTCTGATTCTGGTTGTGGTTGCAGTTGCTCCTAGACCCGCAACCCGAAAATAGACAGAGACGGACGGCAGGCAGCTGCTGCCCCAGCGGGGATGTTGGTGATAGTAAAAAGCGAGCGGCCACAAAAAGTGGCACGCAGCTCGCGCATACTCGTACAAAAATGTATCTGTATCTGGCTCTGGGTCTATTTTTGTTGGCTGCTGAACTTCAACAACAGTTTCTTGCTTCTTGCTTCTTGTTGATTTGTGTGTGTGTTTGTGTGTGTGTATCTGGCTCCCTATTCCTCCTCATCCACGCCCACGCACTCTGGACACACGGGCTTGCCCTCCATGGCATAGAAGGACTTGCCGCGCACAGCCTTCTTGCAGTCCTGGATAATGGATCATGATGGATAGTGGAACAATGACGGATGATCGTGCGAATGCGGAATAATTAAATTAATATGTACTCGTAAGTATGTGAATATATTGGGACAGGCAGCAAGGATCCATGGCTGCAGAACTTACCCGGCAGACAAAGCAGTC